GTGTGTTCTAGAAAGAGTGCAGGGAGCTGGCATAGGCAGATGGCAAGAGAGGACGTGACTGTGGACCCCCCAGGGAGGTTGTCCTGCTGGCTGAGGATCCTGGAGCATGGCTGCCCTAAACATCCCTGATGGTGTCACCGACCTGGCATCACACATCAGAGGACATTCACCGAGTGGCTTCGGGGTGCAAAGCTCTCTGCCAGGTTCCTCCAGGACACAGAACATGCTTTTACCCAAGACATTACCCCGAAATAGCAGCTCAGACTAATTTCCTCATTCAGCAGCTGCTCAGAGGGCAGGTCCACAGCTGCTCAGCTGACTGGGATGAGCGGTGCTCCTACAGCAGGCCAATCCCCACAGGCCATCCTCCCACCAGTGCATGAATTCTTGCACTGGGCCTATAGTCTACTAATAAAAGAGTAATATGCTAATTAGATTAAGTTGACTGTACATCTTCTGGTCATCCTGCCTTCCTTCCAGACAAAGCCATGGTGGCAGGGGCTGAGGCATAAGTGGCTAGGGGCAATCAGGCTGGCAGGAGAGGGCAGTTATGGGTGATCAGGTAGGCAGGCAGGTGAATGGTTAGGAGCAAGTGGTCCCGGATTATGAGAGGGATGTCCCAGATTGGAGAGGGTGTAGGCTGGCTGAGGAACCCCCATCCCATGCATGAATTTCATGCACCAGGCCTCTAGTAATAATAATAATAATAATAATAATAATAGAGAAAACAACTGTCAGTTCTGGCTTCTCCTCTTTCTCAGCTCTGTCTGCTTGTGTGAGGACCTTTAATAGTTACTTATATTACTATTTCCTCTTTATGGAAAACTATGGTAACTTTCTGGGCCTACAAAAAAATGTAAAAAATAAAAGAGAGATTTGGGCTAGGTGGCCTTAGAGAAGGTCCATTCTAACTTTAAATATTCCGTTTTCATTATTCAGGTAGCTGATTTTCAGAATGGTTGTCCCAGAATGTCTTTATTTTAAATGTTTTTACTGATTTTAGAGAGAGAGGAAGGGGAGGGAGAGAGAAGCATCAACCGGCTACCTCCTGCATGTCCCCTACTGGGGATTGAGCCTTCAACTGAGGCATATGCTCTGGCAAGAATTGAACCAGAGACCTCTCCAGACGACTCTCAACCAACTGAGCCACACTGGCCTGGGCACCCCAGAAAGTCTTGATGTTCTCTCCATTGATCCATCCTGACTACTTCCCACAGTTTCTCTCCCCTCTCCCTTAATGCATCCTCTTTTCTCCAGAGCTTTGCTTGATGCATTCTTTTATTTCTGCTCCATCCTATCTGTCCCTGGCTGACCACCTACTACTTCCCAATATTCTGTCTGCCAGGTCATTCTCATGACAACTATAGCAATCACATCTCCAAAATCTGCATGTTCAACTCTGACCTCCCTCTTGATCACTTGTCCCACCTTCCTGCCAATTTTGAATCTCCTATTTAAAAAGTGTCCAAATCCTTTCATCCTTCCTTTGTGTGGTATATGCAACTTTCCTTTGTGCCTCCACTAATGGTGTCATAGGAAATTACTATAATGACCGCCTGTCTCACCTCATCCCCGTTTTATTAATCCATCTTTCATTTGAAAGGACACTTTAAATTTTTTTATGTATTGTTTAAAGTATTACAAATAGTAATACTTTGTCTCCTTTTCTTCCCCATTGACCTTCCCTCTGCCTCCCTTATTTCCCCCTCTCTCCCCCACATATGCCCTTACCGCCCCTACCCCTCAGTGTTTTGCGTCCATTGTTTATGCTTATATACATGCATACAAGTGAAAGGACACTTTCCTTATAAATCCATCATTAGATCAAGGCCAAACCTCTTAGCCTTGCATTTCTCCCAATCCACTGAGCCAGCTTCACATGTACATGACTCTGAAAATCCACTTTTCAATCCTGCTAGCCTTTGCATATGCTCCTCCTTTGAGAATGCTGCTCCTGCATCTCCCCAACAACCCTGTGCCTTTTTATTTTTTGGAAGTCTCCCTTCCATGGAGACTTCCCTGATCCGTCATTCACCATGGTATTTCCTCTCATGGTTTTTCCTTTCCCCCTTTTGCCTATTTCCTCACTTGGTACCTGGCATCTCTACTGTTGTTACACAATCTCTGCCTGTGCTTGGCCCTAAGGACTGGCTTCTGGATTTGGGGCCTGTTGAACAGACTCTGTGCTGTAAGTGAAGAAAGCGCTTGGATTCACTGGCACATTTCCCACAACACCTAGCAAACAGAAGACACTTTATAAGTTGCTAGTTGAATGGATGAGAGAATTATTTTTCACTTTTCTCGTAGCACTTGGCATGACCGCCTCGCCACCTTGCTGATTAGTCATAGGAACCATTTTAGCTGAGAAACCGTTAGCTGGACTAAATCTTTCTCCACATGTCCGCACTTGGCCTTTTAATGTGTTTCATTTGGAAAGTCCAGTGACACCAAAATGACTGGCACATAGTAGGAACATGGTCGGTTTTTATGGAGTGAATGAACATCCTGTTGCCCTTCTTACTCATTGCTCACTTAAATCACCAATTGCTGGTTGCCTTTTCAGTCTCTTCTAATCTCTGTGTTAGTCTTTTGGTCCATTTATCTTTCCATTTCTTCTCTGTGGGAATTTTCCCAAACACAAATGTTCTTAAGGGAGTTTAGTAATCTTTTTGAATTTGGAGGGTGTTAAGTATAGACTCATGGACACAACCTTTATAAACCTGTTTTTCTACAAGGAAGTCTAGCTGGTCCTATCTGCCGCCTATCTTGTGATTTGTAAATCTGAAGAAATACTCAGGATCTGTGCTTTGGGATTCTAGTTCATCAATAAGGTGTGACATACTCTTCAGTTATATATTCGTCTACCTCATGAGCTAAGGGAAGGCTGGGGTAAATACTGGATGCCAAGCCTAACAAGGATAACAGAAGGAGGCTATCGTTTTCCTGTATGCAGTATCTGTCCTAGGAATTCTTTTCTATAATTGGAACATGAGAAATGAACTTTCAGGCTTTGATGCTTATGTTGTGGTTTTCAATTTTTATACATGTATATTATCACTATTGTTAGATGTTTAGATTTTTAAATAAAATTTCAAATGCAAAAATATTTTTCTTAACCTCAAATTCTTGTTTTCCACTTGACTTAAATCTAATGAGGTTCTGTTGGCTTCAGACAATTTTGATTTATTTTATTATGATCCTCAGGTACTATTTGGTAAAATGTAACACAGTCAAGCTGAACTAAGCTTTTTAAGGACTGATTCTGCCCACCAAAGTTTTGACTCTCATTCAGTCCAAGAAACTATATATATAACAATGCCTTTAATTTTTTTAAAAATATATATTTTTATTGATTTCAGAGAGGAAGGGAGAGGGAGAGAGAGAGAGAGAGAAAAACATCAATGAGAGAGAATCATGGATCGGCTGCCTTCTGCACACCTCCCACTGGGGATCAAGCCCGCAACCTAGGCAGGTGCCCTGACCGGGAATTGAACTGTGACCTCCTGTTCCATAGGTTGATGCTCAACCACTGAGCCATGCCAGCCAATTAACTTCTTTAATTTCCAACTTTAAGTTGATAAAAATAACTGAGAATAAATGACTGCTCTAAAATGAAGGTTAAAGTTTGTTATGTACAGTTGCTTAAGCATAAACGTAGTCAGCTATTAATAGTAATCAGTAGATTGAGTGACCAGCCTGCCATCTGGTCCTCACTAAGGACCTGGTGACAGTTCTCAATCAGCAGGGCGTAGAGAATGGGGCTTTCAGTCTGATCTGAGCTCTTCTCCTCATGAGGAGCTGCTTGGGGCATCTCACCTTCTCATGCCCTGCCATTTGCACTGAGACGTTCACATCTAATTCAGAGGCCTTGTTTTAGTCTGTGTGCTTGTTCCAAAAACAGTGAGTCTCAATTTTCATATCTTCTTCTTTTGAACACATCAACCCACACTTTTTTTTTTAATATTACTAGGGTCCTTCAGCCTGGCCTGCGCCCTCTCGCAATCCGGGACTCTTAGGGGATGTCGGACTGCTGGTGTCAGCCTGATCCCCGCAGGATGTAGTAGTGCAGGAAGCAACAGACAGCCAGGGAGGAGCCCAAAGCTGGGCCAGGCGCGGCTCCTGCTCATCCTGGCGGCTGTGCCTGCTGATGCAGCAGCAGCTCGGTAGCACTGTTGTGGAGGCGGGAGAGGCTCCTACCGCAGCAGCTGCATTTGTCAGCCGTGTGCCCAGCACCTGGCACCTGTTGGTAAGCTGAGCAGCGCATTGACCACCAGGGGCGGCCCCTGCATTGAGCGTCTGCCCCCTGGTGGTCAGTGCATGTCATAGTGACCGGTTGACCAGTCATTTGGTCACTTAGGCTTTTATATATATAGATACCCTGACACTCTTGTCATACACCCAAACAGGCCCTTTCTGAGCCCATCAATAAACATTTTGAGTTATTGCACATCTGTGCTCCCTGCTAGCCACTAGTTCAGTTTCAGCAGCAGAACCATCCCTGTGTGCAAAGTTGTGTTTGTGCAGTTATTACAGTGTGTTATTGTACTTTGCTTTGATTCTTTAATAAAGCTTAGTAAAACAAAAATGAAAGTGCGATAAGAAACATAAGTCTTTAAAACTTAACACAATAGAGAACAAGATGGAATAGAATTTTTTTAGGCATTGAAAGTAGCGAAGTCTTTCATTTCATTTGGACAATCAGTGGATCTAAGCCAATTTAGACTGTAGTTGATGACCTCAAGGATTCGAAGCTACGACTTATTTGCGTGAGAAAGTCAGATTCCTGTGGTGGTCCAAGTTCTGCTCACATAGCCAGGTCCTCCTCACTTGGCCTGAGGGGCAGCTGCCTAGGCCCCATCCCTCCACCGTTTCTGAGCCTGAGGAGTCAGACTGTGGGTCAGGCACACGCAATATTCCTTTCTCACAGTACAGGCGATTTTGAAGTGAAAAGTGTCTTTTGTAGGCTTAATGAAAACTCCTTCCCCTTCCCACCCTCTCAGCCTCTGCGCTTAGATACCTTCACGAGAACAGAATCATCCATCGGGACCTAAAGCCAGAAAACATCGTCCTGCAGCAAGGAGAGCAGAGAGTGAGTGACCCCCTCCTGGGGCTTGGAAAGTCCCAGGGGAAGCGGCTCTGGCGGAGGAGGGACAAGCTCTGCATGTTTGTTTATATTTGCATTTCCTTGCCTTTACATTTGCTTCAATTCCCTGGGACTGCTTTTTGATCTGGAACAGGTGGAGGCAAGTTTGAATGGATTACATTGTTAACGGCCCAAGTGGCAGGAATCTGATAAGGAAAATGATGTTTTTCTTCCCACCTCCAGCGCCAACCTCTGGGACTAGCACTTCTTGGAAATAAAACTTTTTGTTTCCATTTGTTTGAGAGTGTCCACTTTTGATGCTAGTATGGGAACCAGCTAAGTTGACTCTAGGTGGGGCTGAGAAGAGGTATTTGGAGCTGGCACCTGCCCACGGGGCCCGGTGCAGCCTGTGGTTTCCGCAGAGCCCTTGGCAGCCTCATCGGTGGCGCTCCTGCGTGTGTGGTGGTGACCTCTCCAGGGGCTCTGTGCTGTGCTTTCTCATGGCCCTGTTTGTCTAGCTGGGGGTGATGAGCAGGGCTCAGCTGAGAGGAATGTAGTAACTCCATTGTGGGCCACTTAATCGCTCCGATACAGCTTCCGCCAGCATTCGAGGCTGACCTGTGATATCGGTTCATTGTTTCAGTTCATACTCATACTTGTCATTGGTTCTAAGAAGTGAGAACTGAAGGCATTTACTTCCAAGAAGAGACCGGCCTCACCTTTCACATCATAAAGTCCGGGTTTAGCAATGTGGAGGGCTGGTGCATGGTCTTTTAACATTGATTTTCCTCTGATGATTGGTCACAGACCAACAGAGAAAGAATGCCCTTTTCCAGCATTTTTACAGCATATGTTTGTTTCCTTCTGCCCTAAATCTACCACGATGAAGGCATTCTCCTGTGTATTTGGTGGCTCATAGGAGCTTAGGCTTTAATACCATCTGGAAATTCAGGTATATCCCCTGACCCATCAGCAAACAAATCAGAATTGTTATAGGAGACAGTGTATTCTCATAATCCTCAGATTTCTCCTCTCTCCCCCCCCCCTTTTTTTCAGTTAATACACAAAATCATTGACCTAGGATATGCCAAGGAACTGGACCAGGGCAGTCTCTGCACTTCCTTTGTGGGGACCCTGCAGTACCTGGTAAGAAATGGGGTTCTATGTTTGCTCATCAGTTTCTCTCTGATGGCCACACTTGTGGGGCTTCTCTCTGTCTTCGCCTTCTAGCACCTCAGTCTTGCCAGCTCCTTGGATGTCTCCTAGATGCGTAGGAATTGTTGTATGAGGTCAGAGCCATCATCTATCTGGTCAAGCCAGCACTTCTGCCAGCAGAGACCCTGTGGAAGGATGTGGTCATCTTCTCTGATGTCAAAAGGGCTGCTGAGGCGCCCTCACACAGATGCAATAACCTTTGTGCTTCGGTATTTTGTCTAAAAAGAAAGAATTCTTGCTGAAACCGGTTTTGCTCAGTGGATAGAGCGTCAGTTTGTGGACTGAAGGGTCCCAGGTTCAATTCTGGTGAAGGGCATGTACATTGGTTTTGGGCACATCTCCTGTAGGGGGTGTGCAGGAGGCAGCTGGTCAATGTTTCTAGCTCTCTATCCCTCTCCCTTCCTCTCTGTAAAACATCAATAAAATATATTTAAAAAAATAAAATTCAAAAGAAAGAATTCTTATAATGTCTGGAAATAAGAATTTAAATATAGATACTTCTGTTTCTATGAGGTGTCTCAGGGGCCACTGAGGAAGATCTGAGCTCTGAGTCCCTAACCCTTTCTTATTTGGTCTGAATATTGTGGTTTTATTTGAGTCATTCATTCATTCAAGAAATAGTGATCGAGTGTAGGCTCTGTGCCAGGCACTGTGCCAGGAGTCAGCAGTGCAATGGGAAAGAAGACAAGCACTTCTCTGGCCTTTAGTAGCTTAGCGTTTAGCAAGAAAGTAGGCATTACCCCGAGACTTACACCAATAACTAAGAAAGTGCAGTTGTGGTAAGTGCTGCAAAGGAAAAGAGATAAAAATATATATTAGGAAGACCTAACTTAGCCTGGGACCTGAAGGGTGAATTGGTGAAAAGGGGGCTGGAAGTGGGGGAAGGAGAGGAAATCTCTCCGGGGATAGTACATTGGAAGACCAGAAAGTGAGACAGGAATCTAGAGAAGAAGGGAGAGAGTACCTCGAGTTGAAGTTGGAGAGAGAGGTAGAGGACAGACGATTCAGGGACTTGTTAGCTGGCTTAAGATTTTAGGCTTTCTCCTAAAACATTTGGAGAGACATCGAAGGATTTTAAGTTGGAGAGAGAGATTAGGTTTACCTTTAGAAAAGATCACTCTTGATAGGGTAGGAAGAATGAACAAGAGTGAAATCTTGAGCAAGTAGTAAGAAGGATGACCTTGTGATAGGCAGTTCAGAGCTGATGGCAGCAGTGAGGATGTAGAAAATGATGTAAGCAGTGCTTAGCAAGACTTGGTAGTAGATTGCTTGTGTCAGCAACATGTTGATTGAATAGAGGAGCCTGCGGTTTAAAAAAACAAAAGCAATAAAAGATTGAACGCCACTGGGTTGGATGAGCTTAAGTATTCTTTCTAGTTCTTAAATTACAAAAAGAAATTCTAAGTCTTTCTGAGTGCATTTACTTTCTACTTATCCTACTAACTAGGTGTGGGCTCCATCAGCTTATCACCTACACTATGGAAGAGAGGTTTGGGGGGGCGGGGCTATGGTAAGGCACTTGTGTCCACATAATGTAATTATGCAGGTCCTGCTAAGTATCCTCGGGAATCCTAATTGACTTAGCAGCATTCTGGGAGAAGGGGAGGACCAAGGATGGTCCAGGATGCTCAGTGAAACTGTTCACTTGCAGGAGACAAAACTGTCCATAGTGAGACCCAGAGATTGACCTGACCACCCCCCAGTTTTCCACTGTGGTTTGACTCCTTAGTCCGTCCATATGTGTCACACATTTAGCCAGACCACACACGATCCTGCCTCCCTGCCTTTGCTTGTGATGGCCCTTTTTGGAATGTCTCCTCTCAGACACCAGGCCTAGACCTGGTCTCACCTGTGCTTCAGAGCTTTCCTTGGTCACCTCACAGCTCTCTCTACGTGGGCAGCAGTCATGTATCTGGCTTTTTTCTTGCCTGATTGTAAATATTCCATTTTCATTGTACACACGTCATAAAACACATCAGTTTAGGAGACGTGGCCAGCATTTAATGCATGTGTTATGCGTTTGGTATATACAGCTCAGTATCACTTTCCTTCGTTGTGTATAGTCTACTTTCCCATTTGCCTAAGAGAAAGATATATGATGTACTCTGATCTACCTAAAAATGCCCTTTTTTAGTCAGTGAGGTACAGAAAAATCCTAGATACCACCACCTAAACACAGCCACCTCCTCACCCTGGTATGGGCATGCCAGTACCTGCTGGATGGAGCCAGGAAAAGCGTGGGGCGTGACCGGAAGGGCTGGTCGTCCCCTCTTGCAGGGGCTCAGGTGTGTTTCCCTCATGTGTGTTGCAGGCCCCAGAACTGCTGGAGCAGCAGAAGTACACGGTGACTGTCGACTACTGGAGCTTTGGCACCTTGGCTTTCGAGTGCATCACGGGCTTCCGACCTTTTCTCCCCAACTGGCAGCCTGTGCAGTGGTGAGTGAGAGACCACAGCCTGGGGGGAAGGGGGGGTGTGGAGGCTGGGAGAGTCTTCTGAAAGAAGGGAGTATGTCCTTTTGCTTTATCATGTCATGTCACCTGTTTCCATCTCACTGGGGCTCCCAGGCTAGGCCTGAGCCATCTGTGTTCTGTCTTCCAGAGATCAAGTTCTGTTGGGACCCACTGTGTAGGCAGTTCAAACTCCAAGGACCTAGAAAGGTAGACCAGTTGTCAAGTGTGAGCATCATTAAATATAAGTAACTATACAAGTGGCCTTTGTCCCCCATTCAGTAGCAACAAGTCAGTACATTCACAGGCCATTGTGTAAATGTGTGCACTTATCCTGACAATGCTGTGTATTAGTAAACAAAGCAAGGATATGTGTATAAGACAAATGAGAAATATTTACATGAAAACTTATTGACAGTTTTTACTAAACCTGAATGTACAATTTTGTTTTAAAATTATAAGAAAGTGGCTTAAAATGTGAACCAAATAAGTTACAAAGAAAGATTTTTTTAATAAAAACAACCAAAGGGTACAATTAAGTTTTTAAATGTCCTTTAACTTTTTTTTATTATAAAAATGTGTTGATCATTATATATGTAAAAGTTAAGCATTACTGAAATGACTAAATAAAAATTAACATTCCTGCCCTAACTGTTTTGGCTCAGTGGATAGAGTGTCGGCCTGTGGATTGAAAGATTCCAGGTTTGATTCCGGTCAAGGGCATGTACCTTGGTTGCAGGCACATCCCCAGTAGGAGGTGTGCAGGAAGTAGTTGATCGATGTTTCTCTCTCATTGATGTTTCTAACTCTCTATTCTTCTCCCTTTCTCTCTGTAAAAACTCAATGAAATATATTAACAAAATATTAACATTTCTGCCCTAGACTGTTTAGCTCAGTGGATAGAGTGTCCACCTGCAGACGGAAGGGCCCTGGGTTTGATTCTAGTCAAGGACATATGCCCAGGTTGCAGGCTTGATCCTCAGTAAGGGGCGTGCAGGAAGCAGCCGATCAATGATTCTCTCTCATCATTGATATTTCTATCTCTCTCCCTTCCTCTCTGAAATCAATAAAAATATATTTAAAAAATAAATAAAAATTAACATTCCCTTAAATTAATTAAGTTTCACTCAAAATTGCTCTTTGAGAGGCCACACACTAATTTAAACGATGCTATGTGGCTCAGATTTTTTGTTTGTTTTCAGTTTTTAGTTTTTGTGTAGTAATGTTTCATGGTTCAAACTTCAACGAGTGTGAAGTTTGATTTCCTGATTTCCTTCCCCACAGACACTCGATAGCATTGGTTTTTGGTATGTTTCCACAGATGTTTCATACACATACAGGCAAATTTGGCTTGTATTTGTTTGTTTGTTGATGTGTTTCTCCCCTTTTTTCACCTCAGGGGTAGCATAGTATGAACTCTGTCTTGTATGTGCTCCTAAAGCAGTTTTACAGGGTGAGGGTTTCTTTAACACTCCTTGAAAACAACCACTATTTAACATTTTTGTGTGTCTCCGGCTCTTCAGTGTGTGTGTGTTATACCTAAAAAACCCCCACACCACACAAATAAGTTACATATTCTCATAGAACCTGCTTTCAAACTTAGTATTGAAAATGCTTTACGTTTTTCCATGTTATTTGTAATGTCTGCTTGGTATGCTACTGCGTGACGGTTTTATAGCTTATTTAGCTTCTCCCCCATTACCGGAAGCATGGGTGGTTTGTAATGTTTACTTCGGAAAATAACTCCAAGATAACATCTTTGTAGGAAAATTCTTGTACATTCATAATTAATTTTCCCTAGGACAATTTTCTAGAAATGGAAGCAAAAGATCAAAGATTGTACATGTTGTAAAGTTTTTGTGAAGCAACAAAATACTCCATAGAGAGGTTATATAAATACCGTTTCCACCAGGAACATACAAAGCTGTCCCTTTCACCACACCCTCACCAACACTGGCTGTTGTCATTTTTCTACCTTTCTGGAAGTAATAAAAACAGTGAACTTTTTCAAAAACAGGTATTTTTCTTTTTTTTTTTTTTTTATCATGAGAACACTTATTTATGAGAATAAGATGTATTACAAATAAAATCTGCTTCAGAGCCATTGCATGTGATGGCAGTCCAGTCACACTTTATACACCAGATGTTGGAAATGCAATGATGCATGAGGTGAAGGCCCTGCTCTTGAGGAGTCCTGTGAAATGATAAAATACGCCCTCCTGTGGTGGCTTATTTTAAAAACAAGTAATGCTTGTTGATTGGCACAGGTTCTGAATATTGAGGAATTAGCTAATTAATTAATTTATAGTTACAACTTATTCTATAACCATTATGAAAAAAATTTAAATATCTGTACAGCTGCAGTGTCTAACTAACCAAAGAATTACTGCTTTTCTTCAGCTCAAATGTTGACCTTTTCTAATATTTATAACAAAATCAGTTAAAATCCATTTGGACTGGAAGCACAAGTGCTCTTTGAAAATATATTCCTAATGGCTCATCATTTTCCTAGTACGTCTGTTGCAGAATCAGATTCTTAGAACTCCCCTCATTGGTGCTGGAAGGCCAGGTGACCACTTTCAAGTGGATTTCTCCTGTTAAGGAGCTGTGCAGTGGACTAGTGTGTGAGAAACACCTGTCTCAGCTGCTTTGTAAAGCCAAAACAACTCTTAAAATTTCACTCTCTCATCTCAGGTGGCAGGTAGATGGTAATTTCAGGACCAATGTAAATTCAGCTTTGTAATTTGATTATAAAGCTACGTTGTAGTACACTTAGGACCTAAGCAATAAGCATTTTATTTACTATGTCCTTCTATTTTTATAATTTCCTGTTGACAGACTAAGTATTCTATTAGAGGATCATCCTACTTGAATGTAATGAAGAGTCTTGGTGCACCTGACTTACAGCAGTCAGTCTCAGCCAGAGCTGTAAGCCACCAGCCTCGGCCATCTGCCAGCTCTTTGAGGTTTCCCATGAGCTCCAGATAGGCGAGTTCACCCTTTACTAATGAGAAGTGTTTATGGGAATACTCTTTATTTACATTTCCAAGGTGTGTTTGGAAAGAAAAGGTTTAGACATTCAAAAAAAACCCCAGACTTTGGATTTGAGTTACCAGTTCTGACATTTTGTAGTTGTATGACCTTGGGTAAATCACTTGATCTTTATTTCCTTACTACTGAATGGGAGTCTAAAAATAGTGTCTGCCACATGCGGTTATTATGGCAAAGGAAGTGTGTGTTCAGTGTCAAAAGTACTTGCTTAGTTATGAAGCATTATTCAAATTATTATCCTTGTCATCAAGAAGATTTGAAACTGGTTGGATTTTAATTTTTTTCTTTCATTTAAAAAATATTTTTACTGATTTTAGAGAGGAAGGGAGAGGGAGATAGAAACATCAGTGATCAGAGAGAATCATTAATCTGCTGCCTCTTGCAGGCCCCCAACTGGGGATCGAGCCCACAACCTGGGCATGTGCCCTTGATTGGAATCAAACCCAGGACCCTTCAGTTCGCAGACCGGTGCTTTATCACTGAGCCAAACCAGCTAGGGCTAATTTTTTTTTCCCTTTAAAAACTATTTCAGGTGCACTGATAAATTCTCTACAAATTGGGAATTGTAAACATTCACTCATCCTTATAAATAATATTTAACCATATACATTTTGAGGGAAGTTCATGGGTTGTGCATATTTCCTGTAAATGTGATATGTGCATAGTCATAGTTTGGAAGTCTCAGTTTTATCCTCCATCAAAACATGGGAGTTTTAAATTAGAGAAAATGAAAAGGACGGCCACGAATGAAATGAGTCAGCAGCTCCAGCTGCAGAACTCTGGGCACAGGAGGGTTAATGACTCGACTTGTTCAGGCAGCACCATCATTCCTACTAGTAAATGCTGACAGGAGCCTTCCTCCCAGGATACACATGCACTGACCATTATCTGCAGAGATTAAGTAGTGACCCGGGGGTATCCTGCACAGTTGTAAAGGGACATGTTACAGGTGTCAAATGGCTCTTGACCTCGAAGTGAGATAAGGGCTGTAAGTAACAAGAATGCATGTCTGCAGGCATTCCAAAGTCCGGCAGAAGAGTGAGATGGACATCGTCGTTTTTGAAGACTTGAATGGAGCGGTGAAGTTTTCGAGCTCTTTACCCTACCCCAATAATCTTAACAGGTAAGGGACGGTGGCATTTTTCTTCAACAGTCCCCCCCCCCCTTTTTTTTGAAATAGATGTCTGAGGTGACATTTGATAGCTTTTAAAGGGGCTATCAGGATATCATTCTATGATAAAAACTGGACATAATCCATCTCAATCTTAAACTTAGGTGGATTCCCAGCCCTAGCCCCATCTAGAAATCTTATTTTCTAAATTCATATAACAATTTCTATGTACCTTTTATTATGATTAGTAGCTTCGACCTTGTGTTACATTTGGTTTTGCATCGTGTTTATCTCCTACTCACCTGTAAGCCTTTTTTAAAAAAATATATATTTTATTGATTTTTTACAGAGAGGAAGAGAGAGGGATAGAGAGTTAGAAACATCCATGAGAGAGAATCATCAATCAGCTGCCTCTTGCACACCCCCTACTGGGGATGTGTCCGGCAACCGAGGTACATGCCCTTGACCGGAATCGAACCTGGGACCTTTCAGTCGGCAGGCCGACGCTCTATCTACTGAGCCAAACTGGTTTTGGCTCATCTGTAAGCCTTTTAAGGGTAGGGAATATTTCTCCTTGCATTACTCATGTAACCTAGTACTGTACAATAGCCAACAAATATACAGCATTGCATTCTGGTCTTAGAATCAGAATGTGAACAGCTAAACAATAATATCAGAATTGGGGATTGGTACAAAAGAAAGCCAGAAGGCGGTCACATTGTCCACAAGTAGCATGGATAACAATTACCGTGAGTGTATAGAGGATGAGGAGATGCATTGGGTGGATGAAAGCTATGTGGAATGACTTCGGCTGAGCTAGAACTTGGTGGACGGATCTGGAAAGATGTGCAGGACATGGATAAAGAGGAAGGAAGTTCAAAGGGGAAAAATTGCGGGGGAGCAAAGGCACGTTTAGGGAGTCAATCAGTAGCAGCACTGGCTTCATGAAGGGCTTTCGTGGGAGTGGTGAGAGGTCAGCTGAGACCTTTCAGGAGGCAGGTTGTGAAAGGCCTGCAGTGCCAAGGGAAGGAGTGACCTTTGTCACGTGAACCTTTGAAGGGGTGATTAACAAAATAACTCCAGCAGCAGGGGTTCCAGGTTGTGTGTGGAGACCACCTGGAGGTCAGGCCACACCTATAAAGTGCACTTAAAAGGCTTACATCATTCTCACAGAGCCAGTGGGACTTCAGCCTGTTTGTTGACCCATCTGCTAAGAAATCCCTAATTTTGAGGAGGTGTTTTAGCAGACCAGGAGAGGGGATAAACACCGGAATAATTAAGTTAGTTGGAAATGTTTACTTTTTCTCTCAGATTAATTCATCTTAAGTGATTGTTTCTTTGGATGCTATCCGTGTGTATAGTGGTGAAATGGATGTGAGGGTATGCTTTTTAATCCCATGTTAAGGCCCCCTGAAATTTGCATTAGAGGTATCTCCTCCTACATTGTGCTCTTCTTCTTCTTTTTAATTCCTTTATTGATTAAGGTATCACATATTTGTCCTCAACCCTCATTCCAGTACCTTACCCCTCCCCAATCATGCCCTCACCCCCTATTGTCCTTGACCACTAGTTAGGCTCATATGTATGCACATAAGTCCTTTGGTTGATCTCTCCCTTTTATCCCCATCCTCCCACTGAGGTCCAACAGTCTGACCCATGGCTCCTTATCTCTGAGTCTGTTCTTGTTCATCAGTCTATGTTATTCACCATTTCCCCTAGCTGAGTGAGATCATGTCCTACGGGAAATATACTTATAAGAATTAAAAAATGCAATAATCATTATGCTGAAAGGCATATGAATCAGTCTGTAGAGTTTATTTCTGGGCCACTAGTTCTTTTGAGACCCAATTTCAGTGTCAAACAATTCCTTATGTGTACATGTCAGCAATGATATTTCAGTTCTGGATGGTGGGCAAATGGTGGTAATGCAGGTCCAACCCTCTCTGGTTTGGTCCTGGGCAACCTGCAGTGATACACAGCTGCTGACTGCTATTATGGCAAGATGTTGTCAGCAGCGTCTTCCATCTCTGGACTGCTTCTCTTCTGTCTTCATGGTTGGAGTAGTCCTGTAAATTCCTCTCTGTTGCCAGAATCCACATGGTTTCGGGGTTGTTTTCTGAAAATATACAAACCTATTCTCGACGCCTGGTATTGGCACAAGAACAGACATATAGATCAATGGAATAGAATAGAGAACCCAGAAATTGATCCAAATTGCTGTGCTCTTCTTCTCCTCAGCATCCTGTTGCAGCGCCTGGAGAAGTGGCTGCAGCTGATGTTGATGTGGCACCCCCGGCAAAGGGGCACGGACCCCGGGTACGGGCCCAACGGCTGCTTCAAGGCCCTGGATGACATCTTAAACTTAAAGGTGAGCCTGGAGGCCACAGGTCAGATCCCCATGGGACACGGCAGTTCTTATGATAGAGACCTACTCATTAAAAAAACAGGCTTACCTGACCATTGGGGAAATTTAGGCTGCTGTGAGAATATCTCTTTACATAAGTAAGAGGATAGAACCCACGCTGACTTGATGTAGGTCATAAAGTTGTAGCTATGGACAAACACGAATATTAAAGACTAGATTATATATAGCATGGCCCTCAAGCAAGGCCCTTGCTTTGTGTGGCTGGGAAGTGTTGGGAGTAGCAAAGGACTCAGAGACGGGCATCTCTGTAAAATTGGAATTTTTCAATAACCTCTGGGTTGTGTTGCAGCTGGTTCATATCTTGAACATGGTCACAGGCACCATTCACACCTACCCAGTGTCAGAAGACGAGAGTCTGCAGAGCTTACAGGCCAGAATTCGGCAGGACACAGGGATCCCCGAGGAGGACCAGGAGCTGCTGCAAGAAGCGGGTCTGGCTTTGATCTCCGACAAGCCTGCCACCCAGTGTATTTCAGATGGGAAGGTAAGCCCCGGGCTTCCTGCAGAATGCCCTGTTTTGCCCTGAAATTGCCCGCAAGGAAAATAATCACGCATTCAGATTTTAGCTCTACTTAATCAATTCTGCTCGTCACCCAGACACCTGCCTGTGTTCTTTAAGTTGGAATGCAAAATCCCCTGTGAGTCCTAACGGAGCCACCAATCACTCCACACCTGCCTGGTTACTCCCAGACCACTCAGAGTGCCTTTATTTTGCCTTTGTTGTCAACGTGATGCTTCGTTTTTCCAAGTCAACCAAAAACTGTTTATGATGTGCCTCTTGTGTACAGAAGTGGGCTGACAGCCACAGCAATGCAAGACTTGGTCCCTGCCCCTCCCTACAAAACTGATGAAGTTAACGTGTAAGAAACAGTCACTGGAGAGAAAAGGAGATAGCAAATGTCTAAATTGCACCTAAAAGACCATCACAGAATAAAATGGAATGTAGTAAGTCGCAAAAGAGGTGGAAAAGGAACAGGGGATAAATAAGTGGAAAAGGAACAGAAAGAGGAAGCAGAGGCCAGCTGGGTGCCTAGTGCTCGCTGGTTGAAGAGGATGCTGCTGGTAAACAGTGGAAACATGCTGAAGTATCTTCATTATTCCTCCGATGAAGGAGGGCTTGGATTCACGAGATCTCATTTTGTTCTTGTCCCTTCGCAGCTCAACGACGGCCGCACATTGGACATGGATCTCGTTTTCCTCTTTGACAACAGTAAAGTCACCTACGAGACGCAGATCTCCCCACGGCCCCAGCCTGAAAGTGTCAGCTGTATCCGTAAGACATCATTGTGGTTATTTGTTGTTGTTGTTTTAAATAATCACTTTCAATGCTTGGGACAAGGCAGGACAGAGAGACATGGGCCAGGTGAGGGGCCCACACGGAGATCAGCTTACCCTGTCCTCGGGCAGCCTTCTTTACTAGGAACATGTGAGGAGTAGTAGCCCAGCCAAAAAAAGAGGAAAGGAAGTCTTCAGTTAATTTCAGCCTGTAGGTAGAATTTGAAACAGACAGAGAACACTGACTACAATCCACTGACCTTGATTCAGGTGGCCATTTTATTTATTTTTTATTTTATTTATATTTTAATAATGAATACATCCACAGATGCCAACAAAATCAAAAGATGCAAGAACATAGAGTGAAAAATAAGCCTTCCTCTCTCCCCGGTGCCCCCAGCCTCTTCCAGAGAAAGTGCTACTATCAAATTCCTGAGTTAACCTTGCAGAGGTTTTCTACCTATGCATTTATGAATGATTATGTTCTTCTTCATTTCCCCCTGAAACAAATGGTGGCATACAATATTTACTGTTCTGTATCTGCCTTTTTCACTTCACAATATATTTTGGAAAATTTTTTTCCCTTTTGCTCCCTTTTCCATTTTTAAAATGCCTGTGTAGTAGTATTCTATTGTACAAATGTTAGATAGACATTTAAAAAATGTTTCTTAATCCTCAACTGAAGATGTTTTATTTTAAAAAATTATTATTTTTTTTTAATTGATTTCAGAGAGATGAAGGGAGAGAGAAAAAGAGATAGAAACATCAATGATGAGAGAAAAATCATTGATTGGTTGTCTCTTGCATGACCCCTGATGGGGATTGAGCCCACATCCCAGGTATATGTCCTGACTGGGAATCGAACCGTGACCTCCTAGTTCATGGGTCGATACTTAACAATGGAGCCACAGAGGCCAAGGATGTGTGTTTATTTTTTAATTAATTTTTTTTATTGTTATTTGGGGGCAATTTTTAAAAAATTTATCTTTATTGTTGAAAGTATTACAAATGTCCCTTTTTTTTCCCCATTGACCCCCTTTACCCTGCCCCTGCACTGCCTGCCCTCTCTCCCCTGGCCCTCACCACACTATTGTCTGTGTCCATGGTTTTTTATTGATTTGAGAGAGAGAGTGAGGGAGAGAGGGAAAGAGAAACATTGATGTGAGAGAGAAATATCGATCAGTTGCCTCCTGTATGTATCCTAATGGGGAATCAAATCTGTAACCTTTTGGTGTATGGGATGACGCTTCCACATACTGAGCCACCCAGCCAGGGTGATGGACATTTTAATGTATCTCCCAATCCTATTCTCTCTCTCTCTCTCTCTCTCTCTCTCTCTCCCTCCCTCACACACACACACACACACACACACTAAACAGATCAAGTGTCCAAAGGCTTAGAGATCTCCAGGCTTATTCTTTAGTCATCTTGCAGGACTGCTGGTTGAAGCTGCATTTTTAGAAAGCTTCATATGACCTTAAATATTGTGAGCATGAAAGTTTCTATTGAAAATATATGAGCCTGTGTACATAGGACTACCTGATTCACAAAGCCTTCCTTCCAATCAAATCTAAAGCTGTTTATTGACTTGCACATGCTTGTTCTGAAATGGGGTACAAAAGTATATGAGAGGGTAACCAGGCATAACACCCAAAAAAGTTCTGTAATAACATAGAAGTTATGTAACGTTTTAAAATGGAAAGTGCCAGTGAAGTTGCAAGGCAGGATGTGGTTAATTGCAGGGGAGTAATTCTCTGACAATTGTATACGACTCTGTTCCAGTTCAAGAGCCCAAGAGGAACCTGCCCTTCTTCCAGCTGCGGAAAGTGTGGGGCCAGGTCTGGCACAGCATCCAAACCCTGAAGGAGGACTGCAACCGGCTGCAGCAGGGACAGCGAGCTGCCATGTACTGTGCCAGGCGGTTTGGGATTTGACTTATTTAAAATTGCTTGGTGGCTTTTGCCACAGGGAGGTGGCGGAGGCAGGGGCCCAGAAGCAACTGTTAGGGAGACACTGGTTTGGAAGGGCTGGACGTGGTCAGCTGGGCTGGATTGAGGAAAACCCTTTTAGACATGGCAGGGTTTTCTTTCTCATCAGCTCATGGAACAGGAGCATAAATGGAGGGTTGGGCTGGATGAACTGGGGGCAAAATTTGGAACCTGGAGCAGCTCATTGCAATTTGGGTCAGCAACACTCCCCTGGTTGTCATACCAGGAACTGCCTGACTTTTTCCCCAGGTAATGACTAGTTTGGATTATTGGTCCTTTGTGTAGTACTCTGTCCAATTCCAATTTTGGTGCAGGACCTCATGCATTGCTGAGGGCTAGGAAATTGTCTTGATGGTTATGAGTGGCTGCTCTTATAATAATTATAGCAGGGATCTGCCTTGGCATTTGAGGCAGTTTTGTTATTGTACAGGATATGGTATTTGGATCCAAAGATACCTGAAGGCTCTGCTTCTTGTGGTCCCTACAGGATGAATCTCCTCCGGAATAACAGCTGCCTCTCCAAGATGAAGAATTCCATGGCCTCCATGTCTCAGCAGCTCAAGGCCAAGTTGGATTTCTTTAAGACCAGCATCCAGATTGACCTGGAGAAGTATAGTGAGCAAACTGAGTTTGGGATCAGTGAGTGTACTCTTTGCAATGAGTTTGGAGAGACCATTTCATTCCTGTTTTCTTTTCCTGAGGTTTCTTTTATCCTTTTATAATCGAGTTGCTTGTTTCTGTTTTGGTTTTGTGGTGTCTTCATTTTGTTTTTCATTTTTTCCCCTACATTTTTTTTTTTCCAGCATCAGATAAACTGCTGCTGGCCTGGAGGGAAATGGAACAGGCCGTGGAGCTCTGTGGACGGGTAGGAGACTCATTTTAGGTTTATATCCTTACTGAGTCTTTTCTCTACCATTTTCCACTTTCTCGTCAAACGCTAGGCTGATCTTGTATGTGAGAACTAAAGTTTTCCTCGCCATGCTCTTTGATTTAGCTAGAACTTGTTGGAAAGAAGCTAGAAGAATAGCCACTAAAAGGGGCCCTACTATGGTAGATCCAGGAACTATGCAGATGGACTGAGCCGGTCCAGATTTGAATAAGGAGCAAAGTGTGAAATACCCTTGGGGGGGAGGGGGAGCCTAGATGTCTTCCTATTAGAAAGGGCCTTGGATGAATAAATAATCAACACTCCGTCAAAGGTTTTTGCCTCATTTTACTGGGACATTAAATCCATAGGAAAAGGTCTAGACCAAGGGTCCTAGGACAGTGTAGATCAAATGCCACTGAAGAGGTTAATTGGGAAGGCAGGGGAAGTATCACTTAGTGACCCTCACACAAATTGAAGACCTTGGGCTCTGAGCCTTTTTCTTGGACTTTTCCACCATTTTCCCCTGTGACTTTGGGCAAGGACCTTCACCTCTGTGTTTTTTAATGTTTGTTTCTTTAAATCAATACTGAATGAATGCTTAAAGGTGAATATATATAGATAGCACATTATTTAGCCATAGAGATGGGCACTCATATACAAAATCTGTGAAATAAAGAAATCCAGCCCTCCCCCTCTCCCCCCCCATGGGATGGCATTGGATGGACAAATTAAGAGAAGAGAAAGTAGGGGGCATGCTAGGCATTGGGCATCTTTTATATGCCAGGCACCATGCCAAGATACTTATATGACCCCTAAAACAGCCCTAATAGAAGCTTATCTTATGGTGGAGGAAACTTCAGATCAAGGGTTAAGTAACTTTCCCCAAAGGTCACACAGAAAGTGGTAGACCTAAGATCCAAAGCCAGCTCATTCTGACTGCGGAGTCCATATTCCTTCTACAAGTCAGTTGAGATTCTACAATCAGTTTGAAGGGTTTCTCCCCCCCCACCCCCCCAAACCTTGCATCTCAGGATACTCTTATGTCAGTTGACATTAGCGCAGCTTTTTCATCAGGAGAATGAAGTGAAGCACCTGGTGGAACGGATGATGGCACTGCAGACGGATATCGTGGACTTGCAGAGGAGCCCAATGGGTCGAAAGCAGGGGGGGACGCTGGACGACCTGTGAGTACCAGCCGGGCGGGGATCACACAGTGTCCCTAACACTGCATGTGCCCCAACTGGAGTTTCTGTATGTGTGTTGGGAACACGTGTGGTTATTATGGAAGCTCGTGAGATTGTTCTGTAGAGCATGCCCCCCTAACCCTCCTCAATGAATCATCTCGGCAAGCTCCAGAGATGAGCAAGGACAGATCACCGTCATTCTGAGCCTTAGTTTCTGTATCTGTTTAGTGGCCAGAAAAGTTGTCTCACCTCCCAACGTTGTGAGGATCAGTTCAGCTAATGCATAGAGCAGTGATTTGTAAAATATAAAGGCTGTACCGCAAGGAGCCTTTGTCATGGTATCAGGCATCACCTTTCGTCAAGCTCACCCTATCCCAGGTGTAGCTTGAAAAGCAGAAACTGGCCCAGAGATGGAGAAGCCTGGAAACCCTTAGAAGTTCAGACCTGGAAATGGTTCATTTGAGACTTTATCAGGACTTTGGCCTTGGTGCCAAGAGAGGATGAGGCACCCAAGTAGAGCAGTCCTGCCTGAAGGAAGTCTTACGTAGCTTCCCCCCTCCCCCTCGGTGCAGATGGGAAGGAGGCAGGCGGGCACATCAGCCTCTCACAAACTAGCCCACTTGGGTTCAGTGCTGTCCTCTGATGCTTTTACTAAGATCCTCAGGACCAGGAGCCAGAACATCAGAAATCTGATTATTTGTGCCCTGTATTTTCTTGAATCATTTAAACTTTTATTCTCCTCTAGTTTTCAAATGAAAATCACCTCTGAAAATATCAGCCTGTCTGACTGTGCTAAGGGGAAAAAGGGATTGGAGTTTGTGTCCACTCTGGTCTTGTGTTTTCAAAATGAAGTCATGTTCTCTGTGCTCAGATCCAGGGATGGCACCTGGAACCACTATTGCGGAAACCAGAAATTCCAAGGGACAAAGTGGAGACTCCTTTCCTTAGGATTCTCTCTAGTTAAACCTTGGAGATAGTCGATAATGCGAGTGGTCATGCCCTTATTATAGACACAATATTACCAGGAATAATTATTTCCTCCAGTCAACACATATCGCCAGCCTTACTTCTAGAAATCAGTAATTCTACTGGCAGGAATCAGCTTATCAATGCTTACGATGTTCTGATGTGGTTTCAAATCTAGACAGAGCTTCTTTTTGGTATATTTCAGAGAAGAGCAAGCGAGGGAGCTTTACAGGAGACTCAGGGAGAAACCTAGAGGTAAGTGTGGTTCTACGCGGCCTTGGGTTCCTTGGTGTCTCAGGTGTGAGACATTAGTCCTCTTTGCCAGCCACCTCTAGGAACTGTGCAGTTCTTTTCCTCTTCCCAGACCAGCGAACTGAGGGTGACAGCCAGGAAATGGTGCGACTGCTACTTCAGGCAATCCAAGCCTTTGAGAAGAAAGTGCGAGTGATTTATACACAGCTCAGGTATAAGCCCCGACTTTTCTACTCGAGGTGGAATGTGAAGAAGCAGCAAGGCCGTGTGGGGCCATTTCTTCACTCCATTCTGATGCGCTTGTCCACGTGAAGAAAATATCTGCAGCTGCTGACTGGATTCGTAACCACCAGGGATTATGTTCTCCCACTTTCTCCAACCCAAATGCCACTGGACTTTGTCTTATTCTTTACAGTAAAACTGTGGTTTGCAAGCAGAAGGCTCTGGAATTGTTGCCCAAGGTGGAAGAAGTGGTGAGTTTAATGAATGAGGATGAGAAGACTGTTGTTCGGCTTCAGGAAAAGCGACAGAAGGAGCTCTGGAATCTCCTGAAGATCGCTTGTGTGAGTGAACCCCTGCAGCCTGGTCCACAGCCCTCAGCCTGCCATCTCCTTGGGCCTTTCCCTCCCTTCCCTGCAAGGGAGACCATAAGGCCACCTCTTTGCAACTTAGAGGAGCAGGAGTGGCAGAGTTAGGGCCTAGGCCCATTGTTTTTATTTATGCATGTATGTATTTCCTATGGCTATTCTAATAAATGACCACAGAATATTCTGTCAGAAGTCTGAAATCAAGGTGTTTGCTGGGCTAGGTTCCCTCTGTAGGCTCTAGGGGAGGACCCTTCCTTTCTCTTACAGCTTCTGGTGGCTCCAGGTGATCCTTGGCTTATGGCCACATCCCTCCAATCTCTGCCTTTGTCTTCTGGGTGTCTCTTATAAGAACACTTGTCATTGAATTCCAGTCCCACGTGAAGAGTCCAGGATGATCTCATTTCAGGACCCTTAACTACATCTGCAAAGATCATCTTTCCAAATAAGGACACATTCCTAGGTTCCTGGAGTTAGGAATGGACAGATCTTTTGGGGTTCCTCCATTTAGTCCTCTGCAGGGCATGGCAGCATGATGTGGTAGATTCTCATCTATGCCTGCTGCCTCTATTGTATCTCTTACTTTCTGTGACCACCATCTGTCATAATGTAGCGGTGACTCCACTGGATGCTGCTCAGAGAGAAAACATAACATGAAAAAGAGAGCTCAGGACAGAGAAGTGAAAGAGACAGGTAAAAGCCAAGGAACCCACAGCTGATGGGAAGACTGCACAAAGGCGGAAGAGGCTGAAAAGAGAGCCATGTAGTCATTGATAGTCTTTAAGAGCAAAGAGGAGAAGGGGAATTTTTTTTTAATATACTTTATTGATTTTTTACAGAGAGGAAGAGAGAGGGATGGAGAGTTAGAAACATTGATGAGAGAGAAACATCGATCAGCTGCCTCTTGCACACCCCCTACTGGGGATGTGCCCGAAACCAAGGTACGTGCCTTTGACCGGAATCGAACCTGGGACCTTTCAGTCCGCAGGCCGATGTTCTATCCACTGAGCCAAACCGGTTTTGGTGAGAAGGGGAATTCTTAAGGTGGAAAGTGAGATACAAGGATGGTGTTTTTTAAGATCATGGCAGCTGGAGCATATTGTAAGCCAAGTAGAAGTAGACAGTGTTCCGGGGATTCACAGTATCAAAGTAATAGGAGACAATTTAGTCTCCAGTCTTGAGAACAACAGAGAGGTCAGAATAACGAGTGTGCCCGTGGGAAGTGAGGAGGAAAAGAAAAGGGGAGAGCTAACGAGGCAGACAAGATTTAAGGGGGAGAAGGAAGTTGAGGTCTTCACAGGCAATATTCATTCAACATTGAGTGCTGACTATATGCCCAGCTGGGTGCTGAGTACTAGAACTATGGGAGGAAAAATAAGCGTGGCCCCTGGCCCAAGCTCATAATCTGGTGAGGGGCACAGCCAGGGAAATGAATGAGAACAATTTAGGTCAGGAGGTGACATACAGCAGCTATAGTATGCACACTCTGTAGCACAAATGCAGAGGAGGAATGCCAGCTTCAATCTTAGAGAGGAGAGAACCACAGAATTTCACCTGAAGAATGAGTAGGAGTTGGGTAGCTGGCTAGGTGGAAATGAGGACATTCCAGGACAAAGACGATGCTCTGTCAAAGGCCTGGAGCAAGGAGGGTATAAGCAGGTTGGGGTGGGCTGGGGGAAGGGTACTCCTGGGGATGGCATTGGACAGCTAGGCAAGGGCTAGCTCAGACAGGCTACACTTTATTTTGAAGAAATAAAGGAAACATTGCAGAATTTGTTTTTTCCTTTCATATTGAGGAAAGTGAAGTATGGAAATGGGATGGTCACATTAGGATTTTAGAAACTCACTCTGACGGCAGCTGGAGAACAGATCTGAGACGTTCGCAGACCTCACCATTGACCAGGAGTGGTCACTCCATGGCGACAGAATTGGGTTCTTGCTGTTCTCCCACTTCGGTATCTCAGGTGTGGATGGTAGAGAAGTCAGGAGCCCAAAAGCACAATAGTGACCTCCTTCCTTACTGTGGACACGGGCAGAAGTAGAGGAGGTAGATGGGTCTCTCCCAGGGTGATAGTCACCAGGGAAGGCACAGTGGAAGGACGAAGAGTAGGACAAACTATGGTTCTTGAATGGTTGGGTAAGGTTGGACCTTGATGTTCAACTGGAAGGAGAATGAGGAGCCAGTCTGTACAGCTGAAAGGGATGAAAACAATGCAGGCTGCAGTGAAGGCGAGGAGAGAGGTTAATGAGCAGTAGGTGAGGCCAACAGATAAGAGTGTGGTGGGGATATGGGGAGGAAGAGGTGGCTTGAGGTGCTGAGAAGATGGACTGTACTGTAGGTCATGTCTGTGGGCTGTAAGCTTGAGGAGGTGCAGGTAGCTGGAGCAGGAGCCGTTGATGGAGCATCTTGGTTTTGAGGGGGAGTGGCTGCCACAGCGTTGGAGTCAGACTGTCTTGGTTTCCTTCTCAGCTGTCCCAAAGATGGTGCGATTCACAGAAAGTCCCTGAAATCTTTTTTGTGTGTCTTAGTCTTCTACTTGAAAAAGAATTAAAAAAACAAAACAAAAAACCCTCACTTTTAATCTCCTTATAAGAGTTCATTAAGCAGCCGAAACCTGTTTGGCTCAGTGGATAAAGCATCAGCCTGCGGACTGAAAGGTCCCGGGTTCGATTCCAGTCAAGGGTATGTATCTTGGTTTCGGGCACATCCCCAGTGGAGGGGTGTGCAAGGGGCAGCTGGTTGATGTTTCTCTCTCATTGACGTTTCTAATTCTCCATCCCTCTCAATTCCTCTCTGTGTAAAATCAATAAAATATATTTAAAAAACAGTTCATTAAGCAATCAAACTTAATGAAATAAAACTTACAAATACAGGCACTCAAATCTCTCTGTATTTAGAATCTTTTAAAAATATATATATTTTATTGATTTTTTCAGAGAGGAGGAGAGAGTGATAGAGAGCTAGAAACATCGATGAGAGAGAAACATTGATCAGCTGCCTCTTGCACACCTCTTAGTGGGGATGTGCCCGCAACCAATGTACATGCCCTTGACCGGAATCGAACCTGGGACCTTTCAGTCCGCAGACCGACACTCTACCACTGAGCCAAACTGATTTCAGCTGTATTTAGAATCTTTTATGAAAATTTTCTAAATTGAAATGCAAACTACCAGCTGTTGTAACAGATACAGAGGTTGACTGTTATCCTCTAGGAATAGCATGTATCTTGTGGCCAATTGTTTCAGAGAAAATACCATGGTGTGAGTGCAAAAGTTGGATTATCTCATTGCTCCAAAATTTTGTTGACTTTCTTTTTGGTTTTGTCCTTTAGAGCAAGGTCCGTGGTCCTGTTAGTGGAAGTCCAGATAGCATGAATGCTTCTCGCCTTAGTCACTCTGGTCAGCTGATGTCTCAGCCTCTCACTGCCCCTGACAGCTTACCTGAATTAGTCAACAAAAGGTACATCATAGTTAACAGTGCCAAGTGTAATATTCAAGGGCATGTCAGGAGGTCATGGGGTGGAAATGGATGTTTACCACTGATAGACCATTTTCGTCTATCTAATGATTTTGTGCATGTTTTTCTTTGTGTTTGCTATATATGGTAGGCACTGCAGGGACAAATGCCTCAGAGTCCCTTGGGAGTCTGAATATGTTGGAAATTAAAATTTTTTTGTCTGAGAGTTGGATTACTAATTGCTCAATGAGAATATTGAAAGTGCTGGTCAGTCACATGTTGTTATGTAGTCCATCAGTCATTATCTGGTCTTCAAAACCAGATTCCTTATAGGGAGGGCCTCATTCAATCCACCTGAGTCATCTTGCCTCCTCCCTCCCCCCCAACCCCCACCACTTCTGAGTTACCAAGTTACCGGTTTCCTCCCATCATCACCTCTCATCACCTCCCATTCATCCCTTCCTCTCCCCTCCTGTCACCTGGACTCCTGCCACAGAGGGGTGAACAGAGCATGTCAGCCTTTCTGGCAAGGCTTTCCGCCTCCCTAGAGCAGCCATTTGAAATAATTTGCCCTGGAAATGCATCAGGGGTGAGTTAATTAAATGTTTGACCAAATATAGCTGCCTGCATTCGCGCACTACTACATCCCTCAGGGAATGTAGGACTTCCAGTTCCCACTGAAGTGGACTCCACTGGTACTCAAATCCATGTACCACGCCTCCAGTTTAATATATTTAGCCATACAGTTAAGCCTGAAAGAGCCCTTTTTTTCACGTTTAACTTTTTTATTAAGCCTAGATCGGTTTGCTTTTTCACAGCAACAGGTGCTTGTAGCTAGATTTGGGGTTCCAGAAAGTGCTTCATTAGATGAATGTGATCACTAATCAATGACATGGTGTTTTAAGATACTCAGAACCAAAATAATTCTATCACAATTTCAAAACCTTGTCAAAAGCTGTTTAGCATATTTTTAAATAATAGTATTATCTCTGAAAAAATATTACTGACACTTCCTAATAACTCGATCCTTTTCTCTAGTGAGGAACTGGTGGCCGAAGCACACAGCCTCTGCACCCAGCTAGAAAGTGCAATGCAAGACACGATGAAAGAACAGGACCAGAGCTTACGGGTAATGGCCTATCCCATGTCCTTACTACAGCAGACGAGAAAAAGAAAACAGAAAGGCAGTCCAGTATACACCTGTGATTTTCTAGTACATTGACCCTTAACCAACACAGGGATTAGGGGTGCCAACTCCCTGCACAGTTGAAAACCAACATATAACTTTTGACTCCCCAAAAACCTAACTACAAATAGCCTACAGTTGACCTGAAGCCCTACTGATAACATAAGCAGTTGATTAACACATATTTTGTATATGTATTACAGTGATTGGCAAACGCATTCGTCAACAGAGCCAAATATCAACAGTACAATGATTGAAATTTCTTTTGAGAGCCAAATTTTTTAAACTTAAACTTCTTCTAATGCTACTTCTTTAAAATAGACTCGCCCAGGCCGTGGTATTTTGTGGCAGAGCCACACTCAAGGGGCCAAAGAGCCGCATGTGACTCACGAGCCGTGGTTTGCCAACCACTAATGTATTACATACTATAATAAAGTAAGCTAGAGAAGAGAAAATGTTACTAAGAAAATCTTAAAGAAGATAAAATGCATTTACTGTATCTATTGGAAAAAATTTGTGTATAATTGGACCTGTGTAGTCTAAACCATGTTATTCAAGGGTCAACTGTACATTTATTATTAATCATTATAATAATGCTAACAATTATTGAATGGGAACAGTACATTATGTGCATTGTCTCATTTAAACCTTATGATACTTGATCTTTATGAAGAAGGTAACATTATTTTGAGAAGGCCTTTCCCCAGCCCCCATCAACTTTTGTCCCATTGCTGAACATTTGTGTGTTGTGATGTTGTGCTGAACTTCAGGGATAAAGCAAGAACCTGTCATGGTCCCACTTCTCAGGGACTCAGAGCTTAAGCAGTAGGTAGCACTAGTTATAGAGAAACTAGTCAACATACAGATACATTAGGATAAAACTGACATTACTTCAAGGATCCTAAATCATTCCCGCAGATCTTTAAATGGTCTTTTCCTGCCGGTACCATCACCTACTAGCCTCCCTCGAACGTCTTAGTTTTCAGAATAATCAGAGGGGACACCATTAGTTGTAATGATCTGGTATTTATTTAAGTGTTCTCTGGTTTGGGGGCTTTCTAATATCTGTTGTTGCTACTGTTCCTCCTCCTGAGACTGTATGTTTAACCCTTTCACTGCTAATTTGCATTCCTGCCAGAGGAAAAGGAAGTCTTATTAGAGCATTTCATTTGGTGAGGCTGGAAATCAATAGCTGAGATTTGCCCTGCTCCTAGATGATGCTGTACTCAGCCAGGATACTCCTGTACTCCTGTGCTATACTCCTAGGGCCTCTGCATGTGCTTTTGCTCCACCTGAAATGCTCTTGGTACCACTTACCCACAGTGGGCATAAATAAGTACTGTGAGTACAAGTAATACTAAAATTGCTTTTCTACTTTCCATAAGGCCAGGAATCTCAGGGACTCCTAGCCAGTCCAAAGAAAAGATTCTAAATGGGTTTGAATGTTTCTTTAGCTCAAGGGTATCCTGCAATAGCTGTCATTAACGAGAGGGTTTAAATGTCCTTCTAAGTTGTGCTGGTTGCCTCCTGGAAAAACCACCACCCCCTGAGGTGTATTTTTAACCTGCCTGTTGACTTTCAGTCTCTAGACTGGAGCTGGTTACAGACGGAGGAAGAAGAGCAGAATAGCTTGGAGCAGGCCTCCTGACTGTGTGGGTGGCCTTGACCACCTGATGGGACTGCCTGGCCTGAGGCTCTCCCAGGTATGTGCCCTGCTCTACCGATGTCCCAGCCATCTTCGGCACCCAGATGGAGATCTTTTTACTTCCCCAATCGTTGTGGCATTGACCGTGGACCAAGGGTGTGGCCCTCCGTGGGCACTGCCAGCAAGTCGCCAGGACACTGGAAGTCCTCCATCACAGAGGCCCAGCAAGCATGGGTGCCAGGCAGGAGCATGAAGGAGACCAAACCACAGAGGCTCCTTCCTCTGCTCTGAAAAAAGTGCTCAAGTACTGTTGCACCACAGACCACTGGACAAATGTTTAACACGAATATTCCAGGGCAAAGTATGAACAGCCCTTGATGCCAGCCTATCCTCTCCTGACCCCTCCTGATCTTCAGAGGCCATGACCCACGTGTCCTCACAGTTAATTGAATTTGGTTTCTCTTGAACAGACTTTTAAGTCACGGACTTGGCCTGGTCCCATCCCTTCTCTTCCTCTTTTCATTTCACTGCTGCTAAAATCGTCTTTTTACCTACACTGTGGTGGTTATCCTCCCTTCGGCTCCCATGTCTTTTAGCCACTGGAGACAGGATGGAAAAGAAACTCCCTTCTTGGGGCCCCAAAGATTACTTGGGAGTGAGTTGCCATGGAGAAGGAGGAGAGAAGAAAAGGTTCCTTCTTAACCATTTGCCTGCTGAACACAATGCTCACACCTCTGTCCTTGCTCGGACACATCTGTGTGTGGTGGAGGTGGGACAGGGAGTTCCTGCCTCTCGTATCATCTAGCAGTATTATTAAATTGATTTATTTAAAAAAAAAATAGTTTCTATATCTTGTGAAATGACTCAACACTTATACTGGGTTCCACAATCCTCTGGTTAGAACTTACGAATTCATAATCAACTCAGTGGAATAGTACCTGGATCAGACAGTGTCATAGCAGTTTTAGCCCAAACGTTCTGTATCCCAGTAAACTTCTCAGTCTCTGTCAACCCAGGATGATAAATCATCCTACATCATGATGTGTCCATATTCTGTGTAATTCAAAGTATTTGACAATTTACTTCAGCAAAATTGCAATTAGGAATTCAACAAGTACCTATTGAGCACCTCTATGTGGCAAACAAGAATTAACTACTTATTTTCATGGAGGTTACATTGGTGGGAAAAGGGGTAGAGTAAGGATTCGATAATAGGCAAGTAACACATGTAAGTTTCAAATAGTTTCAATGCTATGAAGAAAATAAAACAGTAATGGGTAGAGTGCATAGTGTTATTCAGGAATGTGACAAGGATTTTACTACTGTTCTAAGATATGAATGATGAGAAGAAGGCAGCCAGGCCAAGGCCCGAACAATGAAAGAAGATCCTTGAAGCAGGTGCATCTGTGTAGTAAAAAAAGGGAAATTGGGAAGTAGGAGAGATGGTAGAAGATAGATCACATTAGGCCATGGAAAGGAGTGTGGGGTTTAAAAAAAAAAAATTGATTGTAGAGAAAGGGAGATAGATGGAGAAACACTAATGTGAGAGAGACATCGATCAGTTATTTCCCGCACATGCCCCAACTGGGGATCAAACCTGTAACCAGCGTATGTGCTCTGACTGCCACCTTTTGGTGTACAGGATGACACTCCAACCAACTGAGCCACACTGGCCAGGGAAGGACTGTGGATTTTATTTTAAGTGAGGTATTTAAGAAAATGAACAATATAATCTGATACACATTTTTATAAAAGAATCACTCTTGTCCTTTTTGGAGGGAACAAGAACAGAAGCAAGAAGCCCATTGAGGAGGCTACGGCAGTAATTGAGGATTGAGATCATAGTAGAGTACACTAGGGCAGTGGCAGTAGAGGTGGTGAGAGGTAATCCAGTTGAAAATATGTATTCTAGAGCAGATCAGACAAAACTTGCTGACAGATTGGATGTGGGGTGGGAAAAGCACAATTAAGAATGACTCTTGGGTTTTTGCCTGATGGCAGGGTAGATTAAAGTGTCATTATCTAAAAAGGCAACCAAATGAATGGGAGATAATATTTTCAAACAATAGCTCTGACAAGGGATTAATATCCAAAATACATAAAGAGCTCATACAACTCAACACCAAACAATCCAATTAAAAAGTGGGCAGAGGACCGCAACAGACACTTCTCGCAAGAAGACATACAAATGCCCAAAAGATATATGAAGAGATGTTTAACTTCACTAGCTATTAGGAAAATGCAGATCAAAACTACATTGAGGTAACTACCACCTGTGAGAATGGCTATTTTCAACAAGACAATAAGTGTTGGAGAGACTGTGGAGAAAAAAAGAGCCCTCATTCACTGCTGGTGGGAATGTAAATTGATACAGCCACTATGGAAAATAGTATGGTGGTTCCTTTAAAAATTAAAAATAGAGCTACCATATGATCCAGCAATACCTTTTCTGGATTTATACCGGAAAAACTCGAAAGCATTTATTTGCAGAGATATATGCATCCCTATGTTCATTGTAGCTCCATTCACAGTGGTCAAATACGGAAACAATTGGTGTCTTTCAATAGATGACTGGATAAAGAAGATGTGGTACATATATACTATGGAATACTATTCAGCCATAAGATGAAATACTACCATTTGTGACAACATGGACTTTTGAGGATATTATGCTAAGCAAAATAAGTCAGAAAAAATTAAGAGCCATATGATTTCACATCTATGTCGGATATAAAACTGAAACTCATAGACAATGGTATGGTGGTTACCTGAGAGAAGGGGGTAGGCAGACATTATAGAGCAAAGGGGCCCAAATATATAGTGTTGGAATATGATTTGACTTGGGGTGGTGGACACACAATGCAATATAGAGATCATGTATCATAGAACTTCACACTTGAAATCGACATCTCAATAAATTTTTTAAAAAATGTCATTAGCCGAAACTGGTTTGGCTCAGTGGATAGAGCGTTGACCTGCGAACTGAAAGGTCCCAGGTTCGATTCCGGTCAAGGGCATGTACCTTGGTTGTGGGCACATCCCCAGTGGGGGGTGTGCAAGAGGCAGCTGATCAATGTTTCTCATTGATGTTTCTAACTTTCTATTCCTCTCCCTTCCTCTCTGTAAAAAAATCAATAAAATATATATTTTTTAAAAGTGTCATTAACTTGAGACGGGGAAAAGTTGAGAAGCTAGTGGGGCAAGAATCAAGAATTCTATAGGACATTTTATCTTTGAGATGCCTATTATGGACAATTAGAGATAACCCGTAGGCAGTCTGATACATGGGACTAGAGTTCAAGAGAAATACAAATTTAGGAATCTTCAAGCTAGCCATTGTATTTAAAAGGTGAAACTGGACAAGGTGGGGATCTAAAACTGAGCAAGATGGGGATATAAAACTGGACAAGGTGGGGGTGTGAAGGCCCAGAAGATTAAGGCCTGAGGTATTTTCCCATTTAGTTTGGAGAGTGGAGGAACTGGGAACCAACACTCACAAAAGCCAACACACTTGAGGAGTGGCTACTACAGAAGAATAAGGAAGAAGGGAAATGCAGAGCATGTGCTATTTTAGAAGCCAATTGAAAACTATTTCCAGAAGCAAGTGGTTAAGTGCGTCAAATGTTAATGGTTGGTCCAAGAGGACGGGACGGAGAATTGACCATTTCCCTTGACATTCTGGCACTGATTATTTTTAAAGTTGGCATAATACTCACATAAAAAAAAAATGGTCCCACAATTCCCTAAAGTTGTAATGCTTATTATTCAGAGGTCAATAAAATATTTAAAGAAGCATGACCATTCTTCAGAAAAAAATAATATGACTATAGCCTAGAATAGAGATGGATAGGAAAATGAATGGAAAAAAAACTAATATGACTCATTTCCCCCCGCCCCCCAAAAAATCTTTAAATATTTTATTGAAGAACAGCTACTTTAGAAACTAAAGCCACTCAAGCACTAGACTACTCATGGAGTTTCTATACAACTAAAGAAGTTGACATCAAATGGACAAAAAAAAAAAAAAAAGGACGGAAGACCCATATATTTAAAAAATTCATTTCTAGAAAGTAGGTCAGATGGATTCAAAGACCTCACTGAATGTAGAAAGCAACATCAGGCTTTTGCTGGGGCATAAAGGTAGGAACCAGTCCGTGCAGTCAAGAAAAAGTTGGTTCGCCTCCTGGTCTACGTGCTTGCCTTTAGTCTGGGTTCAGAGAACGGTCCTGATCATTTGAACTGGTTGTCAATCAAAGTCCCCTTCATTTTCGCTTTGTTGGCTTCTAGCTCAGCCAGCTCCTGCAGCCGCCTTTTGCTCAGGCCTTTGCGCTCCAGCTGTTTTTCAATCACTTTGGCATTCTGTGCGTATGAGTCAGCCACCTCCCTGGCCTCAATCTCCTCTTCCTCTTCATCAATAGTCGACACAGTGACAGAACTGAACTTGCCCATGTCTTTCGTTCGTTTGGTCACCATCACCTTCTTGGGAGGCTCTCGCTTCGGAGTATACATATTCATTTTCCCAAAACCCTGGCCAAACTTGACTACTGCTCCATCCACAATAAAGGTCACAGGAGCATTCTTTGGCTGGGACTGGTAGAAGAGCGGCAGTCCACACTTGGCACACTTCTTCCTGTACTGCCGTTCCATGCCTTCAGGCCTGCGGAGATACACAGTCTCCTGGTCTTCCGTGTTACAAAACTTGTGGGCGTGTTTGGCAGCATCGATCACCCGGGACTGATCCCGGGGCCTCATGGGCAATTTCTCCAGCTGACAGTCCAGCACCAGAACCATCTGGCCACACAAACAGTAGTAGATGTGGAGGGGCTTCTCGCCGTCCTCGTATTCCTCCCGGTCTCGGGTGTAGGAGCAGACAACTGACCGGGACACAACTTTAGGCATAGCGTGCAGGAGATGTCCACAAACTCAGTGCCAAAAAGAAGGGTTATGAAGAAAACGAGATGACTCACATCTAATTGAAGGTGGGAATCAAAGTGGTAAAAAGCTTTAGAATAAAGTTAAAAGGCAAGGGATTAAGGGCAAATACAAATATTTACAAAAACCATACAAAGCTGTGCAGAAGGGTTAGTAGTAACATTTGTAAAATCTAGCAAATTAACACTAGACAATACCCTATTAGAAAAAACGAACAAAGGATATAAACAGGAAATTCACAAAAGAAATACAAATGTCCAATAAGTATAACCTAAGATGTACACTGATATTGTAAAAAAAAAAACAAACACAAACAACAAAAAACCAAACACACCTATACAACCTAATCAAGGAAATTTACCTAAAGCATTCCATTATTAAAAAAAAAAAATAATAGGAATTTTTAGAGGACTGGATTAGAAGATTTGTAAACACGTCACAAAATATTAATAGTAAAGATAAATGGTGAGACGTTCGCTGTTTTTTTTTCTTTTCTCCTTTTATACTCCGCCCCCCCCCCCCCGATTTTTCTACAGCAACCATGTATCATTTTGTAATAAGCTTTTAATTTTATTTACAAAGCAATTGCCTGGAATTTGGCAGTATGAACCCCAGGAGTTAACACTTGTAAACTATTGCTGAGGTCACATTTTCATTTCTCAAGCAGAACTTGTAAATTTATGACATGCAGGTTATCATGTTGTAATGGCAGTTCCATTGCTCATTTTGTGTGTCTTCCCCCATGCCCCCAAGCCCCTACTGCAAAAGACAGGGGAATAAAAAATAAAATGTCTTTTGACATTGGTTGGCATATCTGTTAAAAAGTTTCATAAAGGAGGCTTTTCTATTATCGGCATATTTCATCCTGGGTTCCTGCTTCACCTTGTACAGGAGCTCGCCATTGCAGTGAGGACTGCACCATCTTCTTAAAGAAAGTTTTTTTTTTTAATTAAATTATTATCTGTGTACATATCTTACCATTGCTCCCCCCTCTCTCATACATGCACTCCCTCCCCAGAGTTGCATGCAAGTCCTTCGGTTGATCTCTTATCTCCCCCATATCTCCCTCCCCTCCCCGCTGTAATTTGACAGTCTGCTTGTTGCTTTACTGTTTCTATATCTATATCTCTTGGTTCATCAATTTATAATGTTCTTTATTATCCATAAATGAGTGAGGTCGTGTAAAGTTTTGATAGTATCACCCTGGTGGCGCCGCCTCATCCCATACAAAATGCGTCATGAATTCAATAACTGTTATTGTGCACACATAAAACTTGCACAGAGCAGAATGCAGCATTCTGTCTCTCCCATCCAACCACCTGATGTCCCCCCCACCACCTTAAGTTTTGACCTCAGAGTGAAACATCGGGCTCCTCTGTTTCCTCTTTTAGGGAGGGCACTTCAGAGGTACGTACGGAGAAAACAGAAACGCCTTAGGTTGGGAATCCAGGTCTTCCCACAGAAACCCCATTGGGATGTAACGCTGGGGTGTGTGTCCGCTTTCCCCCCGGCCAAACCGGAGCTTCAGGTGCCGCCTCCCTACCGGCTCGGTCCCTCTCGCAGAAGATGCTCTGTCCCCTTCCGGCCCGCCAGGCCCCGCCCCTCTGCGTGACGTCACCACGCGCGCCGTGCGCCGAGCGCCGCGCCTCCTGTCAGTGGCAGCCATTGTTCCGCCGGTCGCGGCTGGCTGTCCGGGGGCTGGGCCGGTCCTACCCACCTCTCCGCGTCCCTGTCCCCCTTCCAGCGGGGCGAGGGGGCCCGCGCCCGGCTCAGCGCACTCAGGCTCTCAGGTGCCGGCCGCCATGAGCAAACGGAAAGCGCCGCAGGAGACGCTCAACGGGGGGATCACCGACATGCTCACAGGTGAGCCCGGCGCCCGGGGGGCCACTGGCTTTCTCCGTTCCTGCCACCCCACGGCCTTCCCTGCGCTCCCTCCCGGCCCGACAGCCGGGCCCGGGGGGTGGGATCGGCGCCTCGCAGCGGGGAGCCTCCGTGCGGACCATCTCTCCGCGCCCGCGGTCGGCGGTCGGTGTCAGCGCTGCTGGGACCAGGCGTCCCGCTTTGGGCGGGACAGTCCCGATTTTTAACCATTTGTCCCGCGTCCCACGGCGTTTTAAAAAAGTCTCGATTTTCGGAAAGATTTGAATCTTTCCGATGTTTAACCATTTGTCCCGCGTCCCACAGCGTTTTAAAAAGTCTCGATTTTCGGAAAGATTTGAATCTTTCTGATTTTTAACAATTAGTCCCGCGTCCCGCTGCGTTTTAATAAAGTCTTTCCAAAAATCAAGACTTTTTTAAAACGTCGCGGGACGCGGGGACAAATGGTTAAAAATCGGGACGTCTGGTCACCGCCGGGGCTGCTGTGGGCTCGGCCCGCGGAGCAGGGGTGGGTCCCCGCCCTGGAAGATTAGAGGCTGTCACTTCCCCTTTCGGGAAACTCGGCTCTCGTTTGTTTACACTCGTGGTTCTCGTTCACCCCGAGCCTCCTGTTGCCTTTTTCAGAACTCGCCAACTTTGAGAAGAACGTGAACCAGGCGATCCACAAATACAACGCTTACAGGTGGGACGGCGCTTTGGGAACTGAACTTGCCTTCTGGGATGTGTGGCCAAGGACAGGGCGGAGGGGCCCCTGTGTATTCGGGCCATCTGAAAGAGGAGGAAAAATAAAATAAAAAAAAGGACGGAAGGCACCGACTGGTGGTACCTTACTGCAATATCTTTGGGAGAGCTTGGGCAGAGCTCTGTAAGGTCAATTCAGTCCAGCAGCTCGGACTTAACCATGAATCGCTGAAGACACAGTTTGCCTTTCACGTACTTGAAAGACAGTGGAGGAGGACAGTTCTGGGAAATAGATGTGGTTCAAGGAAACATTATTCCACTTGTTTCTGATTCTTAGCTTATAAACACATCCTAATCCCTCAGCTCTTGAAAGCAAAAAACAAAGCAATCTCCTTCACTCCCCTCTGACTAGGACCTTATCTCTCTTATACTTGACAATTAACTTTGCGTGATCTGTGTTCCGAGCCTGGCCTTCTTAATCTCATTGCAGTAGGATTTCCGTTCTGCCGAACCTACATCTCATCGGATTCTCAGTGACATCCACTACTAACTCATTCTATTCATCTTACCCTTGACTTCCGGGACCGCATAGCCTTCTGTTCTTTCACCTCTTGTCTTCCGTGTTAAAATGGCAGTGTCTGGATCTGCCCTCAGACTCTCCTCTCCCTTTCTTGGCAATCTTACCATTCTTGGTGGCTTTGTATACTGGCTTTGTCAGTGACTCCAAATATGTATTGCACTGGGGTTTTCTTCAGATTTTTTCAGTCTGTATCCCCTTGATCTTTACCTTTCCAAAAATGAACTCTAACTTCCTCCTTCCCTAATCTAAAAAGGATTATACTCTTCCACATTACCTCCTATGGCTTCCCGTAGAAAGTAATTGTCCTATCATCCGCACATTTGATGATGTAGTAGTCAAGAGATATTTTTCAAACCTATAATTTGAGTCACAGCAGGCTTCAGAGAGAAAATGTTTAGTCTTGTCCTTTGATTCTAATTGATAGTTTCGCTGGATAGAGTAGGACCTTGCTTTTCATCACTTTGAGTATTTCTTGCCACTCCCTTCTGGCCTGCAAAGTTTCTGTTGAGAAATCAGCTCACAGTCTTAAAGGAGTTCCTGTGTTGTTCGTTAACTGCTTTTCTCTTGCTGCTCTTATGATTCTCTCTTTATCTTTTGGTATCTTAATTGATGTGTCTTGGGGGTGGGCATCTTTGGGATTGTCTTATTTGGCACCCTCTGTGTTCCTGAACTTATATGTCTATTTTCTTCACCGGGTTAGGGAAGTTTCCTATCATTTTTTAAAATAGGTTTTCAACTTCTTGCTCTCTTCTTCTGGCACCCCCATGACACAAATGTTAGTGTGCTTGAAGTTGCTCCAGAGGCCTCTTACACTACCCTCACCTTTTGGATTCTTTTTTCATTTTGCTGTTCTGATTGAGTATTTTTTGCTTCTTTATATTCCAAATTACTGATTCGATTTTTGGGTTCATCTACTATACCGTTGATTCTTCATTTCAGTTAGTATATCCTTTATTTCTGACTGGTTCTTTTTTATAGTTGTTCTATAATTTAGTTGTAATTTTGAGGTCTCAATTGTGAGGATTTCAAGATATATCTCTAATAGAGAGGTATGTGATTTCAGCTCATCTCTGTGTTTTTTGTTTTTGTTTTTTATAATTTTTACAGATATGGAAAATGAATTATCTCGGTGAAAGTTTAAGCTGCATATTTGCTTGTATGTGTATTCCAGTTTAAGAAAAACTAAGTCCTTACTGGATTTTTAATTTCTTTTTTTTTTTCTTATAGGAAAGCAGCATCTGTAATAGCAAAGTACCCAGACAAAATAAAGAGTGGAGCAGAAGCTAAGAAACTGGTAAGTTTAGTAAGCAAGTTGATTGACGAATTCACACATATGTGTATTTGATGGGCTCCCATAAACTAAATTTGCCTCTTTGAAGCTGCCTTGGGCCTACACAGGCAAATTTCACTGTACCGACTTATTGGAATAATATTTATTTTGCTTCAAGCATACTTCAAGCTCATAGTGTTTTGATTGGGAGAGGGATGAGTTTAAAATTTTTTAAACGTGTAATTAAAATTTTTTTCTCTATTTTTTTCCATTTATGCATGTACTCACTCATTTTTAATTTGAGAGTAGTCCTGAAGCAGAGTATGGAGACAGCATATCTGGTCCCCAGCTACCTTTTTCTGATCCCCATGTATAGGAACTTACATGAGTTAGTGTTCCCAAAGAGATTTTACCTGTTAATAAGCACATGATTAAACAAATCCCTTTCTATATTATGGCATTTAGTCCCTGTCCTCCGTAATTTCCATAAAGCCCTGTATGCTAGCAGTGTCACAATTTCTAGAAGGTCGTATCCTTGATAATTTGTAATAGTAATGTTAATATTATCCCGGGAAAGTGTACTTATTGAGAATCAGATTATTCTCGCTCATCTAAATCTCACTAAAAGACTCTAAGTTCTTAAAAATTAAGGACCATACCTTTTTCATTTTTTTCTTTTATTATTTTTTAAAATCCTCAGCCAGGAAATGGTTATTGATCTTAGAGGAAAGGGAGGTGGGGGGAGAGGAAGAGAGCATGGATGTGAGAGAGAAACATTGATTGGTGGCCTCTTGTACACGCCCCCGGGGGGATGGAACCTTCACCTTGGGAATGTGCCCTGATCCAGAATCGAATCTGCAACCTTTCGGTATATGGGATAATGCTCCAACCAACTGAGCCACACTGGCCATGGCTTATTAATTTTTTCTTAAAGATGTCAAACTGGCATGGCTTTTGATTAGTCTCCTGATAGTTATCACCTTCTTCTGTTGTTCTTTATGTGTTTTCAAAGTCCTCTAGAATTTAGGTATTGCTATTTGATTGTCCTTAATTTTCTCATGAAAACCTTTAGAATGTAAACTATAACTATTCTTATATTTTCACCTTTCAGAGTCCTAACATTACCATAAATCTTGTACTTTATGACTAAGTGACAGATTATCCACTTTAGTCATGTACCACATCTTCATCTTGAATTTATTACTCAATACAAATCATGGTCTGGTGTCTAGGTTTTAAATCCTTTGTGTTATAATAGTTCTCAACATCAATACATCCTCCCCAAATAGACGAGCCATGCGAGTACATTAGACTTTAATTCTAAGTTTCTATGTTGAACTGACACAGTGTTAAACCTCAGAAGCCACTTCTGCTCCCATTCTGTTCCCCTTTAATCACCATTGAATTTCCCTTTTTATGTTAATTGCAAATAGCCTAATAATTTATTAAAGGCAAACTTCTGTCAAACTTTGATGCAATTCATTTCAAATCTCAGCTATGATATATCCCTAAAAAGAACCCAGAAGTACCCAAAATTCCTTTTGCATAAGATTGGACTTAATATGAAAATGTCATTTTTATTCCATTTTACTATTATAATTTTTTCATTGTTACTTTTGAACAGACCTACTTTCTGATGCATATCAGTGCTTCTCCATAATTCTAGAAATCTGAGATTTTCAGAATAAGTATTTTGCCTTATACTCTATAATATTAGTTAAAAAAATAGCCTGGTTCTAAATTGCTTTGGGTCAGTATCTTCTGACATAGAAAATGAGAAACCTGAGTAGTCGTCCCCCCGCCTCCTCAACCCCCCCTTTTTTTTTAAATGTTTTTATTGATTTTAGAGAGGAGCAGAGAAGGATAGAAGATAGAAACATCCGAGAGAGAGAGAGAGAGAGAGAGAGAGAGAGAGAGAGAGAGAGAGAGAGAGAGAGGCATTGATCAGCTGCCTCCTGCACTTCCCCCATTGGGGATGAAGTCTGCAAGCTGGGCATGTACCCTGACCAGGAATTGAACTGTGTTCTCCTGGCTCATAGGTCAGTGCTCAACCACTGAGCCACACCAGCCAGGTACAGAAGGTAATTTTTAAAAAACAAGTCATTTAGAATTGTTTTGCTAGGGCTTCTCTTTTGTCACTCATTTAAATATTTTATATTTTTTACTGAGGCCCAATTTCTTTGTTCTTTGTTTTAAAACTTGTCATAGGCTGAAACCGGTTTGGCTCAGTAGTAGAGCGTCAGTCTGCGGACCGAAAGGTCCCAGGTTCGATTCCGGTCAAGGGCATGTACCCGAGTTGCGGGCACATCCCCAGTAGAGGGTGTGCAAGAGGCAGCTGGTCGATGTTTCTCTCTCATCGACGTTTCTAGCTCTCTATCTCTCTCCCTTCCTCTCTGTAAAAAATCAATAAAACATATTTAAAAAAAAATAAAAAAATAAAACTTGTCATAGGATAATCATTTGTTTTTAATTTTGTACTTTATTTTTTAGAGATTTGGAAAACATTACATTTACATAACTTCTGTGTTTTTAATTTTTTATGTAGCCCGGCGTTGGAACAAAAATTGCTGAAAAGATTGATGAGTTTTTAGCAACTGGAAAATTGCGTAAACTGGAAAAGGTAACATTTTAATGTATTTATTTGCTTATTTGGTTATTGTGTCTGTCTTTGTGTGTGTGTGTGTGTGTGTGTGTGTGTGTGTGTGTGTGTGTGTGTGTCTGTCTGTCTGTCTGTCTTTATGGCAGCTGTCATGGAGCACCATTGCAGGTGATTGATGTCACTGACTCGGGAGACTCAGAAGGAAAAGAAAAGAGGGGAGGGAATTTATGGCTTTGAGTGTCTCATTTTTAAAAAAAATTTGAATATTCTATAGAATGTTCACTTATTTTATGTAGTAATTAAGAGACTATTTACATATGTAATAGAATTATCTTCGTATTTCCAGAACCATTTAGGAGGGAGATTATAAGCTTTGACTAAAAGGTATTATCTTTTAGAACTTCAATGCTTAAACTCTTCTAAGTATTGCTATGGTTTTATTTCACTCTTGTGAGAGTAATTATATCACTTTTGATTTTTCATGAATGTTTTTTAAGAGTATTGGATAAGTTAGAGATGAGACATCTTTAGCTGCTCTGTTATTTATTATACGGGTGTGTGTGTATATATAAATATATATATATAGAAAGCCAGGGACTGGAACGACCAGAAGGACTGGTCGCTACGAGGCTAGTGGCCAACCTCCCATTGTTCCTCCCTCAAGCCAGCCCTGATTGGCCCAATCGGGGTTGACCATCCTCCCTACAGGCCCAGCCCAAGCCAGCCCGACCCCACCCGTGCACAAACTTGTACACTGGGCCTCTAGTCACTTATAACCACCTAGGTTTATATGAATACTCCTTTAAGGGTTATCCAGACACATGTAAGTATTGGTATGATTCCAATAAGATCATTTAAGCCCTTGAAGTATTCGTAAATCATTGTCATGCTTTTTTTCTCCCCTTTACAGATTCGGCAGGATGATACAAGTTCATCTATCAATTTCCTGACTCGAGTTACTGGTATTGGGTAAGAACTATTTTTTTTTTTAAACCTTACCCAAAGATATGTTTTTATTGATTTTAGAGAGAGAGGAAGGATTTCAAACCAATGCCCATTTGGTCTATGATATTACACTTCAACCAACTGATCCAGGGCAAGAACTATTTTTTAAACAGACACAATGTGGGGTTTTATGTCAGCCAAACTAAAGTGCATGCTTTTCTCTTCAAAACCTGCCTCTTTGCCTGTCTGTGGCTTTGCCCACATAGTTTGCTCTTCCATATGTTGCATATCTGAGGCTGGTTCTCTAGATGTTGCCTTTACTGTGAAAGCCTCATCCAAGGCTAGTGTTACCTCCTTTATGAGGCCAGTTTGATTCCCCAGCTGGAAATGATTTCTTCTTCCTCTAAACTCCACTAACACTTGCTCTTCGTACATCTTATTGTGTTTCCCAGATTAAACCTCATTTGCCTCTTTGAGCGTGATATCTTAAACATTTAAGCTTTTATTTCCGTACCACTACCATAGTACCTTATGAATTTGAAACAAGCTCTCAAACATTTTTTTAATGATGGAATCTTTATCTTAAAATTTGAACTAGCATGAAAGGAGGCTTCTTTGACACTAGACAAAGTAAAGATGAACATTGAAATATTAAGGCTGTCATGCTTAACTATCATCTTCATGGAAAGAGAATTTTTTTTTTAGATATGATTTTTTATTTGGCAACATTTTTATGAATGTTACTCTAAAATAGATTAAATTCTTAAACTTAGTCTACTGAAAATGAGCTTGACTCCTTGGGGACCAAAGACAATTATGCAATGTTACCATGTTTCCCCGAAAATAAAACATCCTCCAAAAATAAGACCTACTTACAGGTTTCCTTCTGAGTGAAATATAAGGCATCCCCCGAAAATAAGGCCCCCACTAGGCTAACCATGAGAGATTTGGTCCACTGATTCTGAAAGAAATGGAGTCACAAGAAATTCACCAGGAAATTCAGGAATTGGATTGTTATGATGATGTTCCAGAAGATGGTGACATAATTGTCATTGAATAAATGAGTAAATTCTTGATACTGTAGGATTCACAGTTTGTCTTGACAACTACCGTACTACCATATCATATACAGGTAATAAATTTCCTTTATTTTCATTTAACAATGAATGTGTACCGTATTCTTCTTCATGGAAAAATAAGACATCCCCTGAAAATAAGACCTAGCGCATCTTTGGGAGCAAAATTAATATAAGACACTTATATTGTCTTATTTTCGGGGAAACAGGGTAGTTAAAAGTTGTTTTATAGGGTATCTATTATATTGTTCCCTTTTTCCAGACAAGAAAACTGCATACAGAAAGTGAGAAAAGTGTGGCAGAATCAGAATTAGAACTGTTTCCTGACTCCCTTTCAGTTCTGTTTTTTCTATGCTACATTGTCTTCCTGCCATGAATATCAGTTTCTTTGAATAGGCTCTTTGTCATTCCATTCTCAGTTTAAATATCTCAGAGGCCTTCTCTCACCACCCAATCTAAAGTAGTACCTAACCACTCTGCTATGTTTCTCTATTTTAATTCATGTGCCAGGTATTTTTTATTTATTTGTTCATATATGTATTTATTCACTCTACCCACTGGAATGTAAATAGGTAAGACCAACACCCTTATTTGTGTTGTTCCTGTTGAATTTTTAGCACCTAGCAGTGTTATCTGGTACCTATTAGGCCCTCAGCAAATCTCATGAATGATGAACAGTTTTCAAATACCTGTATGTTTTTTATGAATAAAAGACATGGGCAAAAGGCCACCTAACTGTTGAGATATCTTTTTCATGTCTAAGTTTATGGTTGTATTCCTAGATTGAGGCTTTACGAATTCTTCTCTTGGGATGAAAATGAACATTACCCAAATTACCATGCACCATTTTAGCAAGTCTTGTTCACTTCAATAGTAACTCTTTTATGTTTAACAAGAGAAGACATAAGTATTTGTTTCAAGAATCCTGAGTTTCACTTGATATGAAATAATTTGTTTCTTTCTTGTAGTCCATCTGCTGCAAGGAAGTTTGTAGATGAAGGAATTAAAACATTAGAAGGTGAGTATGTAAATGTGGTAATGCTCTAACAAACCAGAACTTGAAAAAAATCCCTATTCACCCTAGCTGGTTTGACTCATTGGACAGAGCATTGGCCTGTGGACTCAGGGGTCCTATGTTCGATTCCAGTCAAGGACATGATCCCCATTGGAGCGTGTGCAAGAGGCAGCCCATCAATGATTCTCATCATTGATGTTTCTATCTCTCTCCTCTCCCTTCCTCTCTGAAATCAATAAAAACTATTAAAAAACAAAACAAAAAACCCCTTCTCAATTAGTAGATACAAAGGATATGGATTTTTTTTTTTAACTTTACATTAGAGATTAGATATACAGAGTAGTTTAGATTCCCATCTTAACTCAGAAGAAAATCAAGAAGAACAAGAAATGGCTTTTGGTTTTAAGGCAATGATTTCATTTGCAGGTTTTAATTGATATAAATAAACTTTGTTCGTTAATAGAATTTTAAATAACAAAGTCCTACATTCAACTTAAAAGCCAGTTTTGTATATTGAGAAAGATTCTGTAAGAGACTTGTTTTGCTTATTGAATTTTTGCTTTCAAAGAAGTGATAAAAATAGTAATATAAAACATTTTTCTTAAATCTAATGGAGCAATCATTTAAATATAATTTATTTCTTCATACATTTCAAGGGTGAATATATATGTATAGATTCATTCAGTATATCTGGCATTTAGGGTTTAAAATTAATGGGTTCAACTACTTGTAAGCAATGAGTTCATTAAGAATGAATGATTGGTGCTTCAGTTTCTCAGCTACAGAATGGTATAATTTCTGTCTCGTGATTTAATGAAATAATATATGTAAAGCACTTAGCACAATGCTCGGTGCCTACTAAAGTAATTAAAAATAGTAACTGTCTCTTAAGAAGTATGGTTAATTAGTAATATTACTAAGAATTTATGTGAGTCACATGGCTAGTTAATGACCACTGTTACATCTGCATCTCAGAGGATTGTGCTTTTCTGCTTAAGGCATATACTGAAAATGGGGTCAAGAATTTGTTTTTCAAAGGTATTCAGTTGTATCCCTTGAGAGTGTGAAGGATCTATAATTCCCCTCATTCTCAACTTTTGTAGGGTGGGTTTGTACATTATCATTTCACATATCTGTAATATAATAACTGTTGATATATTATATCCATAAAATAAACTCAATATTTCTGTTTCATTTCAGTCATATACTTCAGTGTTTTCTGTGTAAATACAACTATGAGAAATATTAAGTGCTTCATATTTTATAAAGATACTTATTTTTCTCCATTTTATATTTCCAGAGAGAATTTATGTGAATATATGGGTGATTATAGGAATTGCTTGTGAAGCATAGTTATCTTTAAAAGCTTACTCTTGTATTCATGCCCAATAAAGGAACATCTAAGTGGTACTAAGCCACTTTTAGATTTAAGGTATGTTAGGAAATGACAGTTTTTAAAATAAAAAAGTAAAAACATCTCTTTTTAACAAGATTTTTAGCACAGTTTCTACACAAACTGGTACTCAATAAATGTTAACTAAATGAAGAAGTGAATAAACAAATGAGCAATACAAATGAACTTAGTTACTCATAATACATTCAGAAGTTGTGGTTATACTGCTGCTTGTTAACCATAAATTAAGCAATATAGTTTTTGTAAGGCTGCTTTGTGCTATAGTCAGTGAAATTTGGTCCGATCTTGGTATATTTTATCTACTGTTCCATGTAACTAATTAAACTTTTGATTCAGTAAATAAAAAATTATCATGAAATAACTGTTAGTGTTTTATTATGTTAATTTGAAGAATCACTTTTATCTAATTCTTTTTAGGTAAATTTTTTTTACTGTCTTTTCAAAGTAGTTTTAATGTATTTTCCATGTAGTTTTTTTGTAAATAGGATCACTAAATTTACTATTTTTCCAAAAAAATATTTGAATCAGCACCTCAATTTTATCTTTTATACAGATCTCAGAAAAAATGAAGATAAATTGAACCATCATCAGCGAATTGGGCTGAAGTAAGGTGGCAAATTTTCTTTGACACTGGAAATAAAAGTAAAATTTTTATAGCCATTCTTTCATACATCATAATAATTCTTCAAACTTAGCTAAACAACCATTTCTCTATTCAGAAATGTTAAGGTTTGTTGCAGACACCTGTAGAGAATATGCCTGTATTCACGTGTTTTGCTACTGCTTTCTAGTTTGCCTGTTTTGAGTTTTCCCCTCATTCACTTAACTTTTGTAGGGAATTCCCTCTGAAAATGCATAGAATTGAGTGCATCAGTGAGTCAGTGGGTTTTTATTTCATGCTTTCATTATACAGAGCACTAAACTAGATCTGGGGTAAGGATATGAACAGGCTCAGTGTTGCTCTTATGAAGTTTAGAGTCTACCTCAGAAGATAGGACATGAACTTGAAACACTAAATTAAAAAAGAAGAAAAATACCAAGCACTTAAATAACAGTAATGGGATAACTAATAGGCATGTTGTATATCAGCATTAGCTATTATTTATGTTGTGTACCAGATATATTCAGGAACCCCCTTTCTAATTATTTAAAATTGGAGACCTGGTGTATGAAAATTCATGTACTGGATTGGAGATCCCTCAGCCCAGCCTGCCCCCTCTCAGAGTCCGGGAGCTCTCAGGGGTGGGAGTGACTTGGCCATCAGGGGAAGGCGATGCCCCATCACACCTCTGCTGCTGCCACTGCTGGCAGCACAAGCCTCAGCCAGCCCTGGTTACCTGAGCCTTGGGTGGCCCTGGGCGGTTGGGCAGCTGCTATCCAAGGCTTGCCTGTGCCTCGGTTAGCCCTGGGCAGCTGGGGGGACTGGGTGACTCCAGAGGCAGGCGGGCCTGGCCAGGCCACACACCTGCCATCCAGCAGGGCTGTAGGGACTGGGTGCTGCCATCTTGTGGCTGTGGGTGCCTCCATCTTTGAGGGAAGGGTGGTCAATTAGCACATTCCCTCCTCATTGGCTGTGAGCACCACCCTCTTTGAGGGTGGGACAGTCAATTAGCACATTCCCTCCTTATTGGCTGTGGGCACTGCCACCTTTGTGATGGCGTGAGGGTCAATTAGCATATTCCTTTTTATTAGATAGGATACATAGTGCATAAGCTATGTACATGCATAAGCATGTTTCTTTCTTCTAGTCTTAAGTCTTGTTGGCAATTCAGTCCTAATAACCTGCACTTTTCTGTTGATGCTTTACCATACTATTATGCTGCCCTTCCAAAAATTTGAGCAAATTAAGAGACCAGGGTGGTATAGTTCTCACTATCCTTGCATTTACATAGTAAATAGAGATCTAAGAACTTAGTTGTGAGAATTGGTTTTGAGCCAGTGCTTTATTCTTAGATGCTATTTCATACTTAGATAATATTTTTATAACAGTCTTATAATTCGTATACCATATAATTCAACCATTTAAAGTACAAATTCATTGGTTTTATTTTTAAATTTTTTAAATTTATTTTTATTGTTGAAGGTATTACAGCTGTCTCCTTTCCCCCCTTTAGCCCCCTTCTCCCCACCTCTCCACTTAGCCCTCTACAGGCCTTCACTGAGTTATTGTCCATGGATTATGCATATATGTATATAAGTTCTTTGGTTGATCTCTTCCTACCCACTCCCCCTCCACTTCCTTTGAGATTTGTCAGTCTGTTTCATGCCTCCATTTCTCTGGATCTATTTTGTTTATCAGTTTACTTTTTCAGGGTTTTAATATATTCACAGAGTTGTATAACCGTCACTAACCAAATTTTAGACCATTTTTGTTGCTTGTCACTCCCATTTCTCTCCAGTCCTCCACCTCTACTCCCCAGCTCCTGGCAACTACTAATCTACTTATTGTCTCTATAGATTTACCTATTCTGGACATTTCATATAAATGAAATAATACAGTATGTGGTCTTTTGGCTTTTTACAAATAGAATATTGTCTGGGTTTGTTTATGTTGCAAAATCCTACTAAGATATTTTAAAATACAATAATTTTACATGATTTAAGGACAATAAATTATAACCCCTTGACTTGTCAATAGGGAACAGTCTAATTTGGAAGTGTACTAACTTAAATTTATTTATTCTTGGTATGTGAATGTGAAGTTTATTTATAAATAAGTTTAGATGGAGTATCTGGAATAGCAGAAAGGATGGCATGTAAGGATTTTGATCAAGTTTGAGGAATAAACCTTTTCTACCTCAGTTTTACTGTTGTCTTAATGAATTTTAATTTTGATTTTTTAATGGTCTGATGATATAAGAACACTTGATATAGTAGGAAATTTAATTTTTAAGAAGATTTAAATGTCACACAAATCTTACCTATTTATTCTGTCTTTATAGATATTTTGAGGACTTTGAGAAAAGAATTCCTCGTGAAGAGATGTTACAAATGCAAGTAAGAGTGTGCTGGATTATATTCTTTGATTAGAATTGACAGTGTCACTCTGAAAAGCCATTTTTAGAATACTGACTTAATTTTTCTCCTATTAGGAAATTGTACTAAATGAAGTTAAAAAAGTGGATTCTGAATACATTGCTACAGTCTGTGGCAGTTTCAGAAGAGGTAATACACTTCTTAATCTCAGGTTATTCATGCCTTGATTTTAAAATTGTTTAGCGTATAAAAAAACAACATGGATTAAAAAGATGTAATTTGTGCCCTAGCCAGTTTGGTTCAGTGGATAGAGCATTAGACTACAGACTGAAGCTTCTCAGGTTCAATTCTGGTCAAGGGCACATGCAGGCTGATTCCTGGCCCATTCCAGGTGCATGTGAGAGGCAATTAATAGATGTTTGTCTCTGTCTCTGCTCCTCCCTTTTTACTCCCTAAAAATCAATGGAAAAATATTCTCGAGTAAGGATTAACAACAACAAAAAAGATGTAATTTGTGTTACTTAACAGATTTGCTTAGATCCAATAGTATTAATTAAGTTTATTTATTTGTAGATGGAAATAAAAATATGAAAATTAGAGAAATCCATACTGGATTTATTATAGGATGATATTTTAGTGACTAATTTTAATAAAAATTTACAATAATTTTGGATGTGTTAAAATACTAATAGTGGTTTTATGGCTAGATGCAAGTGAATCTGTGGGTAGTTTTTGTTTGTTTTACTTTTTGTATTTTTTAAGTTTTCTTTAATGGATCTAAGAATAATGTCTCAGAAGCACCAATTCTCACAACAACCAGGTTCTGCTGATGTCAATTTACTATGTGAATAGGAGCAAAGCTATACAATTGTGGTCTCAAAAATTTGGAAGGGTAATATAAGTTTAAAAGTATAAACTTAAACAATTAGAATACAAAAATTTTATTTAAAATGTTTAGAAAGATATCTGACGGAATGTCCGGCCACACTGGAGTTTTGCTTGGAAGTAGGTGATAGGCTCTAAGCAATTCTCTGGGTAGCTGCTAGAAGAATCTAGAGTTGGGGATAGAAAAGGACTGAATCCATAATTACTGATAAGTAGAAAGGACATTGGATTGGGGCCAAAATACCTGGGTTCTCAGGCCAAATCTGTCACTGTATGATTTTAAGTTAGTTTGTTTTTCCACAGACTTTGATGTACAGACTTGAATAACTTGTTAACTCTAATCATCTCACTCTGCAAATATGGAAAACTTGCAGAATGAGAAGATTAGAGTTAACAAGTTATTCAAGTTTGTACATCAAAAACACCTAGGAAGTTTTAAAAACATACACATTGCGGTTCCCTGCTGCAAGCCTACTAAATAAGAATCTCTTGGGTAGGGCCTTGCAGTCAGTATTTTCAAAACATACGGTAGACTTAGATATACAGCAAGCCCCATGCTATGAGAAGTAAGGCCTTTCTATGTGTGTCATCCCCATGACTCTATTTGTCTCATAGGTAAATTTACGTGAAGAATTCCATACGTTTTCTCTATTATCATAGGTGCAGAGTCCAGTGGTGATATGGATGTTCTTCTGACCCATCCAAGTTTTACCTCTGAGTCAAACAAACAGGTACTTCAATTTATAATCAATGCGATCAATCTTACATTGCAATGAGCATCATTTTCTAAATGATAGTTGTCCATTTTCTGAATAAGTTTTTGTTTTATTTTTCTAAAATATATATTTTGTTGATTTCAGAGAGAGAGGGAGAGGGAGAGACAGAAACATCAGTGATGAGAGAGAATCATTGATTGGCTGCCTCCTGCATGCCCCTTACTGGGGGTCGAGCCCAAAATCCGGGCATGTGCCCTGACTAGGAATGGAATCGTGATCTCTTGGTTCATAGGTCAACGCTCAACCAATGATCCATGCTGGCCAGGCCTAAGTTTTTATTTTAATCTTTCTGAAAATTCACACTGTTTGGTACTGATTGAATTATGTGAAAGGCAAAAAGTAAGTTGTTGAAAGGGGTACATACCTTTCTATAAGGAATTGAATGGACAATCCAACACTTGAAAGGGATGACATTTAGTAAAATATTTTCAGAATTATTTATTGTCTATCATAGATATTTAAAAAATACTCTGTATAATCAGATTTTCAATAAAGGATTTTTAAAAAAATATATATTTTATTGATTTTTTTACAGAGAGGAAGGGAGAGGGATAGAAAGTCAGAAACATCGATGAGAGAGAAATATCGATCAGCCGCCTCTTGCACACCCCCTACTGGGGATGTGCCCGCAACCAAGGCACATGCCCTTGACTGGAATCGAACCCGGGACCCTTGAGTCTGCAGGCCGACGCTCTATCCACTGAGCCAAACCGGTTTCGGCTAAAGGATTTTTTTAATTAAAAATATTGTATTTAGAAACTTTACCTCTATTAGAAATCCCAAAAAGGCAAAACATTTTTTATTTTGGAATACATGCCTTTTAAAAATGAAACAGCTAACTTTTTTGTTTTAATGAAACAGATAAACACAAATGATGTTTGTTTGGGTGCATCATGATATTGGTGAAAGATGATGGTATCTAAAAATAAGTTTCATTTGCCAAGACCGGTTTGGCTCAATGGATAGAGCGTTGGCTTGGGGACTGAAGGGACCCGGATTTGATTCTGGTCAAGGGCATATACCTTGGTTGAGGGCATATCCCCAGTAGGGGGTGTGCAAGAGGCGGCTGATCGATGACTCTCTCTCATCGATGTTTTTAGCTCTCTATCTCTCTCCTTTCCTCTCTGTACAAAATCAATAAAATATATTTAAAAAATAAATAAATAAGTTTCATTTAATAAGATGAATTTCCTGTTAAAAGGAAAAAGTACTTACTCAGTACATAGGAAAATAGGCATTTCTCCACAGATCATCAGAAAACTTGTGTTAAAAATGTTTTCTTGCCATAAGAGTAATTGTTCTTTTTCTTATTCCTTAATTACGATTCTACAGCCAAAACTGTTACATCGCGTTGTGGAGCAGTTACAGAAGGTCTGTTTTATTACAGATACTCTGTCAAAAGGTGAAACAAAATTCATGGTAAGTACTCGTTTGAGTTGACACATCAGAAAAAAACTTTAAAGACTGTTCAGTAATGGTTGTGAGGGTGTGCCTTCACTGTAGCTTAATGTTACAGTCAGTAACTATCCATGAGGTCTTAAACAAGAAGAATTAGTAGAATGCTAATCTCAGACTATTTTAGTAAAGAATTTGGTTTTAAACTCCCCACTTGTAAATATCTGTGCCATTGGAATAGATCATTAGGTATACTCTGCTATTAAAATATCCATAATGATCTTGACATATAAGTTTTTCCCTAAAATAACAAATGTTTTTATATTCTCTGACTCAGAATTCTTTAAAATAAGTGAGATTAAAATTTCCTAGAGTGTTAATTTATTATATTACCAAAGAAAGAAAAGGAATCCAGGTATGTGCTGGAACACGCAGGGAAAGAACACGTTGTGTGTAATGATCAGCGAGGGAGTTCATAGAGGGGGACACGGGCAGAGATCTTCAAATTGAAACCCATCATGATGAACTGTCAAAATCCTGGAGTCCTTCTAGGGAACTAAAATTTAAAGATTTAAAAAAAAATGGCAAATGGGTTAAAAACAGATTAATAAATGGCCCTGAATAAAAATTAACAGGAAGGCAAATAGAAATATTTGGATTAAGGTATTAAAAGCTTACCTTTATCCTACTGGTCACTTATATGTACACTAGATGTGTGTGATTGAAATCATGCGAGGAGGCACCCCACCGGGGCCGGGATCCGCGCCTGACTCACACAGCGCCATCCGCCTCGGGAGTCAGGCCGGATTGGCGCCCCAGAAGGCAGTACCAGCGCTGCGGGGAGGCGGGACCCATGCCTGACCTGCATGTCTCCCGGCCCCCCTGGCTGTGTCCGCTCCAGGGCTGCCTGAGCCACTGTGCTGGCTCAGGCAAGGCCCCCTGCCTCTGTCTCCGTCTCTGCTCCGCTCACCTGCAATCTCCTGTCTGGTCTTGACCCATTATAGAGTCCCAGCATAATTTTTATATTACCTCTTTATAATATAGATCATTTGGATTCCCTTTCCTTGGTGCCCCCATTTTTCCAAGTTCCATAACTGAAAGGAAAAAGACATCTTTTGGAGAACAAACATGATAGAATTAGCAGGTCTCATGCATAAATTTGACGATGGTTTTAACCAGTAGTAGAAAAATATGGTTGAGATAGATAATTGAAATATCATGTCGTTCAGAAAGTGGAATGGTGGTTGCCAGGGTCTGGGCGGAGGGGTATGGGGAATTATTGTTTAATGGGTATGTAATTTAATTTGGGGCAGATGAAAATGGTTAAAATGGTAATTTTATGCTATGTATATTTAACGTGTAGAAACATTGTTATTAAATTCAGCCTGCTGATTTTTATGGACTATGAAAGTGTATTGTTTAAGTTAGTCACACTTTATCATTGTTTTCAAAAGAATTTTGGGAAAGGTAAGAATAAAAATTCTAGTCAGTCTTTGAGAATTAAATGTTGTCCTGAATCTGTCAGATTTTGAGCTCTTAATCTGTTTCTAAAACTAGGTCTTATTTAAAATAGGGTTTATATATGTTCCATGAATATCTTTTTATTTTATTTTATTATTATTATTTTAAATATATTTTATTGATTTTTTTTTTACAGAGAGGAAGGGAGATAGAGAGCTAGAAACGTTGATGAGAGAGAAACATTGACCAGCTGCCTCTTGCATACCCCCTACTGGGGATGTGCCTGAAACCAATGTACATGCCCTTGCCCGGAATCGAACCTGGGACCTTTCAGTCCGCAGACCGACGCACTACCACTGAACCAAACCGGCTTCAGCCATGAATATCTTTTTAAAATTTAGATTGATTTTAATTTACTCAAAATAAATAGGTATGAATCTTACAATTAAAGTACATTCAATCAGATAAAAATCCTAAATATGAGCTGGACAGGTTGGATTTGTGTTTGTTTTGTTTTTTCATAGTAGGAGTGTCCTTGTATGCTTGGGCATGTTCTGGTTCCCCTTCTGGCCTCACTCTCCTCCAGTAGTCATCTCTGTGAGAGGCACTGGGATCCCTATCGGGAAGTGTACCACCTGCTTTCAGATTTAGCAATACCATAGCAGAAGCTTTTATTTATTTATTTATTTATTTATTTATTTAACAATCTGAACAGTATTCTGCTGGTGCTCAGAGAGATCCAGAGGAAAAACCAACAAAGGTGGTAGTAATATAGCTAGCAAGAACACAAGGGAAAATTATAAGCTGGTGGGCTGGGTATAATCTAAAAAGCAAAGGTAGGTAGCCAAGTATATGTGAGCATGAAGATTCACCGATGGTGGTGGAAATGGGTTTCCTAGTAGCTGCTCAGTTAAAAACAAAAACAAAAACAAAAGACTTTGCCTAGGAAGTGCATGTGCAGCCAAATTCCAGGGACTGCTACAGAGTGGGCTGGGTCAGACCTTACTGTGCATGATAAGAAAGAACAAAATGGGGAGAATGAGTGTTAATAGGGTGAGAAGGTATATTCAGTCAGTTTAGCAAAGATGTATTAAGCATCTACTACATTCCAGGTTCTAGGAGTTTGGGATATATCAGTGAATTTAAGTAGAACTCACATTTGGGGAGTAATAATGGTGAACTTAAGTGAGTAAATTGTGTAGTGTGTTAGGTTAAGATAATAATTATTACTTTTTAAAAAGAAAGGGGAGAGCAGGACATGGGGTGATGGGCGTGTAGGACACAGGGAGATGGGCGTGCAGGAGACAGTACTATACAGGGTGGTCAGAGGCAGAGAAGGTGAGAGTTGGAAAAAGACTTGAGTTAGGAGATTTAGACAAGCAGATACCTGGGGGGAAGAGAGCAGTGACCCTCAGTGCATGAACATTAGCAGAGATATCCAAAGAAGTTACGATCTCTAGGTTTCTGAAAGGAAGTTGGCTGCAAAATGAATTCAATTTATAAAATGAAATAAACCCTTCTCATTCCATATCCCCTTGATTTTAAAACCTCTTGTTCCTACAACTATTGTTTTAGTAGTTTTAAAGATATGACCATTCCTGGGTTTTTCAAGTCATCTTCAAAGCATTAATTCCTTTAATAGTAATCAAACCTTAGGGAAGCCACGGTTATTCCAAATCTTCTTGTGAAATCATGGTCTTTAGATAATTGAGCTATTCTCCCTGTGAATATACCATTTGAAAGAAAGATAAAACAATTTCCCCTGCATTCCTCTGCCTGTTCGATTTATACATGAGGAGTACCATTCAAATTTTAACATTCTGTGCCAGTTTGCCCTTGGAGGATTTTCTGTGGAATATCTACAATAAGGATTAAAGAGATAATAAAAGGTAGCTTGACTACCTTAAGGTATTGAGAGGAGCATTATTGCAGACGCTTGCATGAGGCTACCTAATTGAAATGTCAACAAAAGTAATCCACTCTAATGAACAATCTGTACTAATAAAAGGGTAATATGCTAATTAGACCAGGAGACCTTCCAGTCGTCCTTGGTGGCAGAGGCAGTTAAAGGTGATCAGGCTGGCAGGGGGTGCAGTTGGGTGTGAGCAGGCTGGTGTGGTGGGGCAGTTGGGAGCGATCAGGCCGCAGGCAGAGTGGTTAGGGGTGATTAGGCAGGCAGGCAAGTTAGGAGCCAGTGAGAGAGATGTCCTACTGCCCAATCTCTAGGATCGGGCCCAAACCAGCAGTCAGACATCCCCTGAGGGGTCCCGGATTAGAGAGTTGCAGGCTGGGTTGAGGGACACCTCCCCCAATCCCGCACAAATTTTGTGCACCAGGCCACTAGTGTACAATAATACAGAGAAATTCTTTGACACTAGCACTTCAGAAAATGTGCAGGAAATAAAATTAGCTTTGAAGAAAGGAACTAAGCCATTAGATGAAGACCTAGTTCTGATGTGATGAACAGTAAGATCATTGCCTGTGGCATCAAAGCATCCATTTCTGGAAGGTAATACCTCATGGTAATTCCAGATAGAAGTAGTTTCTGATTCATTTAAAGCTTGAGTTGGGACTTATTAATGCCAAAGAAGGTAGGTTTCATATTTTGAACATAAATAGTTTTCATTAATCTTTCAGCCATAGCAATCCATTTTGGATTTTAGATTTTAACTTTTCTATGTTGTTGAGTGAAAAAGTATGGCTTTTAGTGGTATATACCAACTCAACTACTTTTCAGAATCAGAAGCCTGACACTTGTATATTTTTCTTAAAATGTGGCATTTGAAAGTTTTACTTTTAAATTTATTTATGTCTGTACTTTTTACATATTTATGAGTTGCTGACTAGTCTAGAATTTTTGCCTATTTTTCTGAAAAAGGAAAAGATAAAACAGATCTTGAAAAAATCTGTCTGAAACTAGAAGTTTAATGAAAACTCACTTGTAGAGAAGCAAGGAAATAATCCCCTGGTTTTCTTATCTTAGATTATTCTTCTCTTGGTCTTCTCATTTCTGAGAGGTTTCCACAATTTCAAACTCTCCTACTTTTTCTCTAATAGCCTTTTTATTTGTTTTCTTTTTCCTGAATAATCATTTCTTCCAAGTTGCTTTTTTTCTGTTTGTTTTCGTCTGTCTCTCATATTTGATGCTTTCCTCAATTAGCTTGTTGTTTAGAATTCACAAAGGCCAAATCCTCATCACTCTCATCCTTGCCTGCCTTTTCATGTAATTCTTTAATCATCAGGAAGTGTAATAAGAAGGTAGTGATAATGTACAGTGCATAGAAAAACTAAGTTAAAAGTGCTCCAAATTAGAAAACTGCTCCATATAAACAAAACTTACCTCACATTTAACATTTATTTATTTATTTATTTATTTATTATTTATTTTATTTTTAAAAAATATATTTTATTGATTTTTTTACAGAGAGGGAGAGAGAGAGAGAGAGCTAGAAATGTCAGTGAGAGAGAAACATTGACCAGCTGCCTCTTGCACCCCCCCCCCCCCCCCCACCGGGGATGTGCCCACAACCAATGTGCATACCCTTGACCGGAATCGAACCTGGGACCTTTCAGTCCGCAGACCGACGCCTACCACTGAGCCAAACCGGTTTCTGCACATTTAACAACATTTAATTAAAATTAAGCTTTTAGTTTAAAAATATCATTAAACATTCTTTTAAATATCCATTTCAGGGTGTTTGCCAGCTTCCCAGTAAAAATGATGGAAAGGAATATCCACACAGGAGAATTGATATCAGGTATTTGTTGCTGACCTATTAACTTTCCCTTCTTTTTTCCGCTCCCCCCTCCCTCTATTTATCTTGGAATTCACTTAAATACCCAGAATCCCTTTTCATTCTGAAGTACCTTATGTTTCTGCTGTAGAAAATGTTTAGCCTGAAATGTAGAAATACTAACTGCCTACAGAATCTAATTTATTTTCTCTAGCTATCCATCATCTCATCAGGATGCCTTCCACAGCTCAAAAGTCATTTCCTGCCTGGGGAAAGTTATTGCAATAAGTGGCGCTGCTTTTCATTTCTCCACAACTCTTGCAGAGCATAGTTTACTAAAACCTAAACTGCAGGGTTGGGGTAGTTTGAATAGTTTACCTAATGATAGTCTCCTTTTCAGGTTATGTGACCACATAGACTAATATTTTAGGTGCTTTGTATCTGATTTTTAAGAGTCTTATTTTTGCTACATTTGAAATGTGTAGTAGAAAATTTCTCTATTGCTTTTTTTTTTTTTTAAGGTTGATACCCAAGGATCAATATTACTGTGGTGTTCTCTATTTCACCGGGAGTGATATTTTCAATAAGAATATGCGAACTCATGCCTTAGAAAAGGGTTTCACAATCAATGAATACACAATCCGTCCCCTAGGAGTCACTGGTGAGTATTTGTGTTCCTTAGAGAAAACCCCAGTCATCTGAAGAGAAAGTTGTTTTCAAGATATTTTGGTTTTAGCAACTTTGATTTCTCTAAAAAGCCTTCAAATAACTATGCCAGTTAATTGGTTTCTTTGTATTGTTAGTTCCTCAGGCAACAAATGGGGCTTTAATCCATATACGTTCCCAGGCTCCCACTTGAAGGCCTATTGACGACAGGAATTAATTCTAGCTCTATTACAGTGGATTAAATTCTTTCTACCTGTGATGGTCAGTAACAATAAACTTTATTGGTCTAAACTTTATTGTTTTTTAAAATGTATCTCCAAGACTTCTGAAGCATCCAGGTATCATTGCTTTCAGTGCCAAGCCAAATCTGGTAGCTTTGATCCCATACTTTATTTATTTTTTTAATTGTTTTTTTTACAGAGTGGAAGAGAGAGGGCTAGAGAGTTAGAAACATCGATGAGAGAAACACAGTATGTTCTATACAACTGTCAGACCTGAACCCTCTAAAACTTTTGATTCTTTTGTTCTTGCAGGAGTTGCTGGAGAGCCCCTGCCGGTGGACAGTGAGAAAGACATTTTTGACTACATCCAGTGGAAATACCGAGAGCCCAAGGATCGGAGTGAATGAGGCCTACCCTTCCCCCAACACAGCCCAACAGGAGTCTTAATTTATTTCTTAACCTTTGCTATGTAAGGGTCTTTGGTGTTTTTAAATGAATGTTTCTTCTTCTTGTTTTAGCTTATACCGTAGTCAATAAAACCTCATGCACTATTATCAGATGATCTTGTTCTGATTTTATTAGAAAACATATTTAAATTAAAACATTTTAACCACACTTTACTAAGGGTTTACTAGAGAGAATTAAGAGATGTAATACTTAAAACTTAAAAATAAGAACAGGTGTGTGGTTTATCTATTAAATAAAATCTGTACCAACTGACTATAATCCATCAGAAAGAGCTTCCCTAAGCAAAACCACTTCCAATTGTACCCATATGTACAAAATATGGCCTTCAAACTTCAAAGAAAAGTTTCACTTTTTGCCTTAGTTTTTCTTTAAGGCAATATTTAAATTTAAATGGTAAAACTATATAACTAAAAACACTAATTGAAAGTCCTAGTTTTACCATATAAAAATCAACCTATCTAATAAAAGAATAATATGCAAATTAACCATCATTCTGCTACGCCCACCAGCCAATCAGTGAGTATGCAAATTAACCCCACCCAAGATGGCCATGGCCAAAGAGAGCAGGAAGGAGGCTTAGGTTTCCCTGGCAATGGAGGAAGTCAAACTTTCTACACACCCTGTGCACTAAATATTTACATGCTTACGTATGACAAAGAAGGTAGTTAAGTATTAATTCCCTAGTTAAGTATTAAATCCAAGTGGAAACAGAAGAATTTCAGATTCTAACTTCTACCTTTCTTTAAAATCATCTCCAAGTTGCTAGCAAGAGTTCCTGCAGGAAATAAACTATTTTGCGCATCAAGAAAAGGTAGTTGCATGAACTATGTCAGGCATGAATCCAGGAAGCCTTTAGAGACCGCCTGCCTTCGAATATTCTAGTCTATGAGATTGAGATGCTGTCTTCAGTTTAAAAGTCACTGGAGCAGAGCTGTCCTGCAGGGTTCATGATACTAGAGCGTGCCTGGGCAGCATGTGGCATGATGTTGGCACCTCTGTAACCCATGGCTTCTGTCTAGGGGCTTGCAGCAGAGTTTTCTGATAATGCAGTCATCGCCAGACAAGCACTGTGAAGAGGAACTGTTGTCCCACGTCGAAGGACTCCAACAAAATATTAGATGACGTTTTATTCAAGGGGGTGGAGGAAGCCAAATCACAGTGGCACTTTGTTATTTATTTTTAAAAAAATATATTTTATTGATTTTTCACAGAGATGAAGGGATAGAGATAGAGAGATAGAAACGTCGATGAGAGAGAAACATCGACCAGCTGCCTCTTGCACACCCCCTACTGGGGATGTGCCTGCAACCCAGATACATGCCCTTGACCAGAATCGAACCTGGGACCTTCTAGTCCGCAGACCGACGCTCTACCACTGAGCCAAACCGGTTTCGGCACTTTGTTATTTTGTTTTTAAGATATTTTTTATTGATTTCAGAGAGGAAGGGAGTGAGAGAGAGATAGAAACATCAATGATGAGAGAGAATTACCAATCAGCTGCCTCCTGCATGCCCCAAACAGGAAATTGAGCTCACAACCCAGGCATATGCCCTGACCAGGAATCAAACCATGACCTCTTGGTTCATAGGTTGACGCTTAACCATTTAGCCATGCTGACTGGGCCATAGTGGCACTTTGGATGCTGTGACAGACCCTAGGCAGCATCTTAACTTTTTAGTACTCCTATAATTGTTTTTCTCCCACAAAGGGGATCGGTACATTTTTCTTGTTTGCTATCAAGCTCTAAACAGATTTCTTATATTTGAAATCTTAACTCTCAAGTTCTCCCTGGAGCCTTATTTCCCCTTCACCTTTTTCACTGATCACAAATATATATAGGAACCTCCCGTGGAGTCATTTCTGAATACACTATTTCAAGTGGAGGATGGAAGTGAAACCAGCTATTGCCCTGCTACCCAATACTACGAATCATTCAGTATTTTTCTTCAGTCCTATTGTAGTTTTCCCCAAATATGTTCAATTTTGTATCTAGCATTTCCCCACACTTAAGCTGGCCTCATTACTACTTCCCAACACTAAAACCCAACTTAGCTGTACTACCTGGAATGGCTGTAACATATCCCACCAATGGTGGGTGGGGCCAGAAGTTACTTAACCATGCAGTTGAACAATGTTTTGCTATTTTTAAAAATATATATATTTTATTGATTTTGTACAGAGAGAAAGGTGAGAGATAGAGAGTTAGAAACATCGATGAGAGATAGACATTGATCAGCTGTCTCTTGCACAGCCCCTACTGGGGATATACCCGCAACCAAGGTACATGCCCTTGACCGGAATCAAACCTGGGATCTTTCAGTCCACAGGCCGACGCTCTATCCACTGAGCCAAACCGGTCTTGGCAACAATGTTTTGCTATTATAAATACTTGGGAATAGAGCTAAGCTTTTGTAGTTTGAGAATGTCCCCTGAGTCATTCTAATTCAGACTTCCTTATTTATAGCCACTGTTTTAGTTCTGTTTTTTTTTCATTTATATAAACCATATTTTGCAAATATTTTCACACAATAATAATATAGTTCTTGAAATGTGGGAGAATATTTTATGTTCCAAGAAATTCTCTCAGGAGAATTCTCTCAAGTGAAGTCATTGATGACACCATGTATTATGGAAGCATAATACAGCTTATGTTTCAAATGTTGGAAACAATGGCCCATGCCTTTCTATAGTTGGTTGTCCGGGTGTCACTACATCAAGCGTAATAGGTTAGTTTCCTGTTTTAGGAATGGACTTGATTATGCCCAGCCGACGTAGCTCAGTGGTTGAGCACTGACCTATGAACCAGGAGGTCCTAGTTTGATTGCTGGTCAGGGCACTTGCCCAGGTTGCAGACTCGATCCCCAGTATCGGGCCTGCAGGAGGCAGTCTATCAATTATTCTCTTTCATCATTGATGTTACTATTTCTCTCTCCCTTCCTAATCAATAAAAATACTTTTAAAAAATGGACATCAAAATCAGCAAACAAAAACCCCTCAGTTAATCCAATATTAATTGGATATTGTATGCAGGACATCATAAACCCTAAATACACTCTCAGGAAATGATGTCTAGTCGGGGCTTGCTGATCTGGAATTGACTCTGAAGTAAACTGGAGTACGTAGAATGGAAGTACAGAGATACAATACTGTGAGGTACACAAGTGCAGCCACTTTTTAGAAATATATATATATTATTGATTTTTGAGAGGAAGAGAGGGATAGAGAGCTAGAAACATCGATGAGAAACACATCGATCAGCTGCCTCCTGCACACCCCATCCTGGGGATGTGCCTGCAACCAAGTACATGCCCTTGACTGGAATCGAACCCGGGACCTTTCAGTCCGCAGGCTGACACTCTATCCACTGAGCCAAACCAGTTTTGGCAAGTGCAGCCACTTTTGATTTGAGAATTTAGGTCAGCTTTCTGGGAGACTGTGGGAATGAGGATTAAGTTGATAGAAAAGGTCAAGGAAAGGGCTTTCCAGACTAAATGAACTACATAAATAAAGACACTTGCTTTACTTTTTATTTGCAGTGTACAACTACTTACTCATAGTATAATATCCTCCTTTCATTTCTCTTGGACCTGCAGAGAGAACAAGATGTAGAGGAAGGGAGCTCTGTTAATGAGAAATACAGTCAAAACATATTTGTTCCATGAATATGTCTTCTCCCAGTAGATGTTCTTTAAATGTGCTGCAGTGCTGCCAGTTTCACTGTAACCCAATGGAAAAAATGCCCATCAACAAGAACTACAGGAAATCAAAATTAGTTGCAGTCATAGTAGGAGAATAATAAAGTTGGCTTTCATTATAGTACTGTAGCTGCCAGCTTCTGTAGAAAAAGCTGGAAAATATAAAACCTACCTCGTGGTTTATATGAGGAGAATGAACTGAGACAAACAAGTATGTAGTAAATTATACTAAAACTTGCTTATTAATTTATTCATGTAAAATTTACTGAACATTTAGTTGAGACTTCTGGAAGCCAGCAAAGCTATTTTTATATTTTCACATTATTCTTTACAGATGTTTAGATTAACCAGATAATCTTAAATAGGTCTTTTTAGATAGCTGCTCTAATATTAAGTTCTGCATGTTTTGCGTGTACAAGATTTTTTATGCACTACCTTCTCAATCTTATAAGTGTCTTATTGACAATACAATTTCTAACACTGCTCAAAACGCACACTAAGTTTTTGAATGGCAATTTGTTTCATTTAGTCCCATTTTAGTGTTCCTTTAAAAATTTTCACTGACGACTCTGGAAATTCAGCCAAGAACGTTGTATCAAAAACCTGCTTGAATTTATCTAGAAATTCATAGTCAGTGCTGAACCTGAACTTGTTTGCCCAAAGCAACACAGTCCCGGGCTGGCAGAGGTGCGCCATGGTGGAGAGCAGCTTGTCCAGGCAGTAGTGGTGGTAGACCACGTCGGAGGCCAGAACGTAGTCATAATAGAAAGTCGACTTGGGGAAGTTCTGTTCCAGCCCTTCTCCCCACACCAGTTCTTTCACTTCAGGCAGATGTGCTGTGTGTGTTAGTGTGTTCTTTAAAAGGTTGTGTTGAAGGTTTCCTAGGACGTCAGGCAAATCCGTGGCCGTGACTTGAGCTCCTAAGAGAGAAAGAGGAGAAAATGTAATAATTACCTGGAATCGTTTGGGCATTCAGCATGGACATAAACTCTCAGGGTGAAAGAAAAGAACTAGAACTGGGCTTCTCAACCTTGGCCCTATTGACACATGGGCTGGACATATTTGACATAATTCCACTGGATAATTCTTTTGGGGGCGGGGCTGGGGAGGGGTTACCCTGTACTTGTAAGACTCTTGGGAGTGTCTCTGTTACCCATCCAACAGATGACAGTAGCACCTCCCCACCCATCCCCAAGTTGTGACAATCAAAAACGTCTTCCGATATAGCCAAATGTCCTTCGTGGGACAAAAATCACCTTTGGTTGAGAACCATCTGTTAAGAAACTTTAAGCAATGGTGCAATGTTAAGAGATTTCAGGACAATTAGCTAAACATATTATGGTTTTTCAGCAGCTGCTTAATATAGTAATTTATAATTTTCCCTCTGAATATACATTTATCTGATGATTTTCTTTTTCTCTTACATGAAGTATCCAGCACCCAATTTTCTTTTCACAAAAGATAATCTATTTTGTCTGGTTCTCACCCTTATTTAATTAATTCTTAGACAGGCATTTTAAAGCTGGTGACGATGGTTCACCAAATAGATCACTATTATTTCCATATTAGTTTTAAAGAAAGAATTATAATAATGCAGGCAGAAGTAGCCAGATTAGTACCACCTCATGCCCAGTGCCTGGGAACTCACAACCTGCATTAAGGTATAAACCTATCTTCACCTCGGATTAACTCACTTTTTACTTCCTTCAAAATGGTGGTGATAATATTTGCAACCAAGAGCAGGAGTCAACATAGCATAGTTGTTCACAACAGAGGATTTGAAAGTCATACCTCCAAATTTTCAACTTCATCGCATAGTATGGTGGACTGGGCAAATTACTGAACTTCTCTAAGACACAATAATCTTATCTCTGGGGATAACAGTAGTAATTCTAGCTTGTGACATTTGGGAGAGATTCAATGAGTGAAATCACAGCCGAGTACCTAAACCACAGATACTCCTTATCATTGTTGTCACAAAAAAGGTCTTTTGAAACAAGGTCAAGAACAAGTAAAGAAACAAACCTAAAAAACTGGCCACGATGGAAACTAAGCCTGGTCCAGCACCAATCTCAAGTATTTTAGCATCTTGAAAATTCAATTCCTCTGTATGCTCCTCCAAATACTGACACAAAGCCATAGCCTGAAAAAGATGTACAGTTGTCACTTGGGCATTGCAACATTGGAAACCAGTAGCCACCTCAATCCCCACCCCAAATTAAATACTATAAGACATGTCATTAATCATTTATTGAAAGGTTCATCAGAATCAAAATATACATTTAATGGTGTATTTAGACCTCTGGAAGATGAAAATTATAACCTACATCAGAGGAACTAGAGGAACAGGTTTGTGAATAGAAGAAGACTCTTGCTCAACCTGCAGGAATTGGAAGATCAGCTCATCTCTTGTAAACCCGGGCGGTGAGGCCTGCACAACAGCAACTTCCTCCGCTGGTGTAGTCATGCCGGGCCTCCACCTGCTTTAGGAATGCTGGATAAACTTCTCCAAGACCTCTCTCCCAGCCTCTATCAAAATTCAGGTGAGCCAGGGCTTTGTCTTCTATGCTGGACAACTGGGCAGTTTTGTTTTGTTTTAAGTGGTTTCTCAAAGAAACAGACTGCCAGAACTATACTTCCCACACTTTAGTGTGAGATCGCCTGGGGCCTGGCTAAGATGCACGTCTGTGTGCTGTGGACTCTGGTTGGGGTGCTCAGGACTACGTTTCCCACAAGCCACCAGGTGATGCCAGGGCTTCTGGTCTGTGGACCACACTATGAGTAGCAAGATGTTAAAGCACATATTCAAATAAATTAAGATAGCTTTTTATACAGACAATCAAACATCCCTTGAGAAAAGAGGATAATTATTTGTGAGGTAAGGGTTTCAATATTAGGAAGAGAGTGTCAACTAGAGCTATGGAGAGGACACATGCGTTTTAGGTGTATTTTGAAGAAATAGCCCTGCCCTGTGAGAGGCTGGCCCCTCTGGGTTGGCTATCTGGAAACAATGCTTTTTTCAGGAGCGGCTACATCTTTTGACATTACAAACACTCCCCCACCCTTCTTAGCCCTGTTAGCGAAATCTGGAAAATGATCTCTTTCACGGAGAGCTGCACTGGACTACACATAAGACAAGCGTGTCACATAATCCTTAAGTTGCAATTTTCAGGAGTTTGAGGTCCCAAGAGGGGCGAGGGTTTGTGCATGAAAGGCTGAGGCATCGATGAGCATGAAACAGCCCAGTGGACAAATCTAATCTCTGATACCCCTGCTATTGTTGTCATTTGCCAAATATCTGTATATATAAAAGCCTAAGCGACCAGTCAACTGGATGACAACTGGATGACCAGCCAGTAGCTATGATGCACACTGACCACCAGGGAGCAGACACTCAATTCAGGAGCTCCCCCCTGGTGGTCAGGGTGCTCCCACAGCAGGCGCAGCAGGGCTGGGATGAGTGGGAGTGGCACCTGGGCCGCCTGCTTCTTCACACACATCCCTCACCTGTGGGGATCGGGCTGACATCCCCCAAGGGGTCCTGGATTGCGAGAGAGCACAGGACAGGCCAAGGGGGGCCTCTAGAAAAATATTTTTTTTAAAAAGCAAAAACAGAGACAACAGTATGGTGATTACTAGAGGGAAAGGGGAATAGGGGGCTAGGGGAATAAATAGTGGTGGAAGGAGACTTGACTTGGGTGTGAACATACAGTACAATATACAGATGATGCATTATAGAATTGTACACCTGAAATCTGTATAATTTTATTAACCAAGATCACCCCAATAAATTCAATTTAAAAAAAGAGAGAGAAGAAAAGCCTTTGAAGGAAATCATACTCGTCTATAAGAAGTAAAAATGGACTATCTTGGGAATGGGGTGTGTGGAGGAGAAGAGGATGGAGCTCTAAGAGCGTGGGGACCCCTGGCTGTCCATTCTTTCTCCTGCCCCTTCTCGCTCGCCACCAGTGCCCCAGATCACCCCTGGGGCCCTCCATGGAACCTCTAATCATGGCTACTCATTGCATGTGCAGTGCCTGGACCAGCAGCTCTGTCTGTGTCACCTGGGAGCCTGGGAGACATGCAGAGCACAGTGCCCCCCTCCCCACATTAGAACCTGCATGTTAAGGAGACCCCAGTCTGATTCACATCCATGCTGGTGGCTGAGCTGTATGATCCGGAGCCTCTCCAAGCCCTGGCTGGAAACCTCTGCGGTGGAAGGAATGGCAGTGCTGCCTCTGAGGCCGCTGTCCCAGCCTGTGTGCAGGTGCCCGTGGGCAATAGCTTTACCAAGGCAGGAGCTTTTCCTCATCAACTTAGTATTAATCTCACTAATATTCATCACCCTGCATTAATAACGATGATCTCGCCGAAACCGGTTTGGCTCAGTGGATAGAGCATCAACCTGCGGACTGAGGAGTCCCGGGTTCGATTCCGGTCAAGGGCATGTACCTTGGTTGCGGGCACATCCCGGTGGGGGACATGCAAGAGGAAGCTGGTCGAAGACTCTCTCTCACCGATGTTTCTAACTCTCTTCCCTCTCCCTTCCTCTCTGTAAAAAAATCAATAAAATATATATTTAAAAAAAAATAAAACCCACACACAAAAAAAACCCCAATGATGATCTAACATGAGCTTAGGTGTGTCACTTCACTGAACCCTCACAACCATCTCGGAACTGGACGTGGCCCCTCGCTTTAAATATGGAAATGAAGGGCAAACAGGCGAAGTGACCGTCCCTGACCACACAGCCAGGAAAGAGCAGGTTTGCTGGCTCTGGAGTCAGAGCGTTTCCCCCATTCCGGCACCATCTTCCCGGGGGGTGGTGGCAGGGAGAACATGAGATGCAGCCATGGTTCTTGAAGATTCCTGCTGGAGTGTCCACAATGCACACAGAGATCGGAAACCCGCGGGTGTGTGGGAGTGGCCCGAAGGTACAGGAGGCGAAGCCAGAACTCCGAGATGTGACTTTCCCCTGAACAATCCATGTGAATTTTTCATCCTGCTTCCTGATGAAGCTCATATTAACGCAGGGGGACAGCGCATGGAGGAAAACCAAAGCGTATGGGGGAGACGCGATGGATTTGTGGAGCCCACGCACCCTACCCGCACCCCCGGTGTGGGTTTCAGCTGGAGAAACCCACAATGTTAAAGTCCTTGGAAAACTGCCCAAGGCCACACGAATGGACAAAAGTGTGATCATCGTCCTGCCCTCCCAGGATAACGGTTCTCTCACCCCTGGCCACACCACTGCTCCGTAACTCTCTATGGATTCTTGGACGACAATCTTCTTGCCTGCAAACAGGTAATTCTCCTGAGTGTAGCTGGCATAATCTGTAGGGACAAATTTCTGCAGGCTACGAAGAGATGGCTTTGTGTTGTTAAGATCTGTGGGGCAGAAAATAAGATAGGTTTCGTGATTTGTTGGTTCACTGCAAATATACACTTAGTGCAATTGGTAGGATGGGGTCAGAGGGGTGATGCTATCAATGACAAAGGCTGCAAACTAGCACAAAGTAGTGATAGAGAGTGACAGGGACGTTACATTCAGATGTGACATCTTTATCATACATGACAAAATGCCCAAGGATAGTCCCTCTATGTAGAAGAGGAGGGAGAAGCGTGGCTCCATTCCCACACTCCTGATGACAGGAGAAAGCTAAATGGCCCCAGGAACATGGCACAGATGAACTGCCTGTGTAAGGAAGACCCGGGCAGACATGGACCTGACTATTTTTAGGTCTTGAAGTAACATTCCCAATGTTGGCTGGAGTGTGCTCCTTAAATCCTTCTTACATCAGCTCCTCAAAAGGTATAGGTCACCCAGAGATGAGCCAGCCCCACAGGCCGGGTGGGGGCCGGAGTGTCAGATGAGCTCTGACTCTCAAGTTACTGCTGTGTTCAATGCTTCTTTGCTCTCATGACCACTCCGGCAGCTCTCAGATGCCATATACAATGAGAGGAAAAGAGCACATGCTCAGAGGAGGGGGTTCTTGGAAGAAACCTACTCTGGAGTCCACCCCTGGAGGCAGGTAGGACAGGCTATTTCAGGCACCACCGCTCTCCAGGGGCATTACAACAGCTCTAGGCCATGGTTTGCAGCCTGTTTGTACCAGATGTCCAGAAAGAACACTACAGAAGCGTGGAATAAGCCTTTTGAATGTCCACAATGAGATCATGTCTGTTGTATCTATGTAGCTTTTATGTTGCATGTCTGTATATATGTATTCTCATTTTGTCTTCCCAACAATTCGCTTTTGCTGTGTTTTACCAAAAAAAAGTGTCAGTAGGCAGCAGATTGGGAAAGGGCCTTAGGCCACAGTGCGGACGAAGGGGCTGGTTTGTAAACCAGCATAAGGATGCCCGCGGCTCCTCAGAGCGCTGCTCTCGGCCGCAGGGTCTGACTTGGCAAGTTCTACCCCTGGAAGGAGAACTCTCCGCCCTGAACAGAAAGGCGAGCTTCCAGAGACCAGAGGCTGCATTAAACTTGCCAGAACCTGCTGGTAAGGAGTGGCCAAGTCAGTGCTGAGGGGTCCTTTCCTGTCACATGCCCTGGTCAAGGCAGTGGGGAGGCAGTAGGGGAGGGAAGGAGACCTAGGGTCCTCGCCTGCCTCTTATGGGAAGTTACTGACACACAACACCAACCCAACATTTATGAATGACCAAGGAGGCGTTAGGTTTTGCCACTGATTTGTAGGGTTTGACAGTGCCCATGATGCAAACAACCTGCTGATAAAATGCCCCTATGCAAAGATGTGCAGCATTCACCATAATGGAGTACTTCCACCATCCAGATACAATGGACATCAACAGCCTCAAGAACATAGCTAATCATCAAATGCACTAAAATAATCCATGTCCAGTCCAGAGTATTTATTATCTATGGTTTTTTTTTTTTTTAAATATACCTTAGCCTTTTATATAATTGATTTCATTGTAATTTATGTGACTGAAGTGTCAATAATGGCCATGTTTAATAACCAGCTCACCGAATTCCTGAAATTCAGGAGCTGGCGCAGACCGCCTGGTACAGGAGTCGGTACAGGACTGTGCTTTTTTCCTCAAAGGCTTTCGTCAGTGGAGTGTCTACCAGGTACTCCTGCCAGCTCCTACTGGCTTCCTTCCCCCAGGCACCCCCTTGGTGCCCCAGACCTTTCATTCTTCCCTTCCTCCCACAAATCGCCAACCAGGGACTCTCAAGACTGGGGGAAAAGTCAATGGGCCGATTTTGAATGGCTCATTATTTTACAGGTTAGTAAGCTAATGTATATGCTTTCCCAATCAACAGGGTAAAGAAGCGTGGGCATATAAATACACTCCCATTAGAACCTTATAGAGTCTATAGAAATATAGAAATTTATGTTTACTGCACACTAAATATTTTCATTTATTGCACCCATGCTAGACTGGTAGTTTTAGAGGGACCAGATTTGAGAGACAGGTAGAGTTGCATTTTTTTATGTAAACAATTTAGTAAAAATAAGTAATATCCTGGTTTAGTAGAGTTGGAACATCATTGTACCACATTAAATAATTGTAAATGTTATAAATGCTGTATCTTGGCTCTCATGACATTATTCGTTATGTCCGTCATTTATTAACTTCTAAGTCCCTGTCCAGAAATGTAACCCTAATGGTTGCATTGTCCTGGTGAGAAAATTCACTTTGTTCTACACGGATCTGTGCATGACAGAGCTGCCAGGAATACATTTTGATGAAAAACAAAATTCTTTTAAAATGTTCTTGTTACAAAAAAATACAGTCTTAGATTTATACACAACATAAAATACATTTGTGGGTTTTGATAAGCAAATAATGAAAAATAGGGGTTACTTGTAACGCTATGCTTATGCTCGCACAAAAGCATTTTTCTACTTATTTCGTTATACGAACAATCTAGAAAGATGTTACCTAGCCTTATTGTAGTGATCATTTCGCAAAACACCCAAATATCAAATCATCTGTCATACACCTGAAACTAATATAATGTTACATGTCAATTATAGCTCAATAACAATCATTGAAAAATCTAGAGTTAAAAGGAAGTGGGAATTCTTGTCATGGAAGTTAACTGGAAAATGCCATCACCAGGAAAACAACGGAGACGGTATTGGGGTCATGCAGGGGGTTACCTCCTGTAGGTCTACTGGTGCCATCTTTCTGGACAGTCTCTTCCTCCGCCTCTAGCCAGCCAACTGGGGAGCGTGGTCCTTCCCCGAGGCGCCCAGGCTGCTGCTCGGAGCTCAGACACACATCCATAGCCGGAGCTGGCGCTGGAGAGGAGGAAATTGGACAAGATCCGAGTGGCTCAGCCCGGGGTGTCTGAGTCTCTCAGGAGGCTCTAAAAAGTGCAGCTTATCGCCTTCGCATCTGCTGAGTGGAAAAGAGCACCTGCTTTTCAGCTTAGTTCCCTGGGCGAGCAAGGCAGCCACTCAAGAAGTTGCCAAATTGGAGGGAGAACGTTCAATGAGACCGAACCTATTTGCACACGGAGAAAGGCAACAACAGAGCAATGGGAGCTGGGCCACAGTCTGAAGTTACCAGGGTCCAAAATGCATTCCTGATAACTTTGGGAGCTGAATCGTCAAGAAAACCTGGTCTGGCAATAGGACTCAGGGGAGTGCCTTGTAGATGGATATGATCTCATGCAGGAGAAGCCAGACTTGGAGTAAACCCCGGGCTGCTCCCTTTTCACCTTGAGGCTTTCTTGTAAGATAGTAGGAAGTGCTGGGGGCTGAGATCCAGGAGCCTGCTCTGGCTCCCCATTCTAACACTTTGCAACTCATTTATTCCCCTCCTCACTGTGGTCTCAACAGCAAGAAGGGGATAATGATATCTGCCTGCCTGCGAGGGCTGTGACAAGAAATAGCAAAAGCGATTAGTTCAGCACAGGTAAGCAAAGAATTATTTTCCAATGCCAGGAGGTGTTCTTCCTTGAGAAATGAAATGACTCCCTCCCCCATAGTTGACTTGAGAAACAAATTATTTCCCAAAAATAGCTGCGCATTGGAAAACAATCTCGAACATAACTACAGTGATCTGTCTAGGGTTCATTATTAGTTTGGCACATACGATGATATAGATATATAACATATATATTAGTACTTCATAAAGAACTGGGAAATGTTTTAATGACTCCTTGTTAGTACCCTCAAACGAATTTTGAACTGTTAGTTTAAATATATCTTTACCTTGGGTAGCAGAAGAGAGTTGAGATTTCTGTGTGCCCTCTAATCCCCAATGTTTTATATAGATCTGCACCTAAAAGGATTAGCATTTTGTGAACAAAAGCCAGCCAGTGGAAGTCCAAGTTATTTAGGGTAGCATTACCCACCAGTGCGCAGACACATTTCTTTGCTAGAATTTCCTCTCTCTTTCTCAACCTCTCTTTCTTGCTCTCTCTCTCTCTCTCTCTCTCTCTCTCTCTCTCTCTCTCTCTCACACACACACACACACACACACACACACACACACTCCTTGCAACGTGAAATATAATCACTCTTGAAAGATCCAGAGGCTGCCCTTCATGGTATCCAGTTGCTGTGATGGAGTTTGAATGTGGACTTACATTTCACTTTTTAAAAAGTGGGGGTTGGGTTGCTGGGGTTTTGTGGGCATGTCAGCTTTGTGTGCATCAGCAAGCTCCTGGGGCTGAAGAAGGGCCTGCCTGCTGGGGACTCTGTCCTGGACCTTGATTCCTGCTCCCAGAAACGACACAGGCTCTACCAAGAGGAAGGGAAATGTTTGCGAGGAAGATGTGAGAACGGTCTCCGCAAGAAGGGACATGAGTCAAAGGCTTAAAGTCACATAACGGGTATTTAGTTGGGGCAGCAGTGAGTAGGAAACCAGAAAACTCCTTCAAAATAAAAAGCAATCTGTTGTAATTTATTTGATAGAAATAGGGGCACACATTTCTTAAAATGGAAAGAGGAAGAGCGTTTGCTCATTTTGGAAGCTTAGAAACCCTTAAAATAGAATATAGGGTATGTAGTTTAAAGCCTCAGGCGAATAGGAATTAAATAATCATTTTCTTTTATGAGGGACTATAATTAACCATTGAGCCGAATGAATGGTGATTTAGCTAGAGTAGATATAAGAGCCTATTTTTTTAAATTTTTTCACCTATTTTTATCCAACATTTCTACTTTCTTCTCTGCTGCCACACTTTTTTTTTTTCAATGTTCGTTTCTTTTTTCTTTTTAAAAATATATTTTATTGATTTTTTACAGAGAGGAAGGGAGAGAGATAGTCAGAAACATCGGTGAGAGAGAATCATCGATCAGCTGCCTCTTGCACACCCCCTACTGGGGATATGCCCGCAACCAAAGTACATGCCCTTGACCTGAATCGAACCTGGGACCTTTCAGTCCACAGGCCAACGCTCTATCCACTGAGCCAAACCAGTTTCGGCATCAATGCCTGTTTCTTTTAACTCTGGATCTTTGTGTGGATATACTGTGGTCCCATGACTGTTAGGTCTTCTTGCTCACTCACTCCCTTAAATGATGGCAGCTGGTCTGGAGTCTTTTTCAAATCCATCATTGCAATGCTTTTATTATTCCCCAAATTGTTCAGATCTATGGTTGTGCCCTGAACTTCTGTAACTTATTTCCAGCAATGTCATCATCCCTACATGAAACAGCAGAAGATGGTCATCATTACAACTTTTAAATAACTTTTAAAACCAGATTGCAATGCTTGAGAATATGTGCGTGTACATTCACATATTCATCCTACGAGCTTTGAAAGTGAAGACATGGACAAAGAAGACATTTTTAAATATCTCCTTTAAGCTCACTCTCTGGAGAAGTAAGCTTGACTAACATTTTCTGGTGTCAACCTTTAGGACCTTTTTTTGGTATAAACTTTATATAAAGCTATTTTACTCAATATGAAACTAGATAAAAACATACCTCTTTGACCTACTATCAAATATCCTATTATTTTAAGAGTTTCTTTGCAATGAATCTTCAAATGCCATCTTTTAGGTACCCGCTTTAAGAAACAAAACAGAACTCTGTTGCCTGAGCTGGAATAAATTAGGTCTGAGGTTCCTAAATATTGGGCCACTTTAGAATTACCTGGAAGCTTTAAAATGCATAGACTCCAGCCCCTGGAAATTCCTGTTCAAAGGTCTGGAAAGAGCTTAGAAGTTTGAACTCACGGTTCGACAGCTGTTCCCCGTGTGTCTGCAGCACTTGGCATGCAGTCCCTGTCAGTCTATAGGACAGAGACACGGGAGTTGTGTTCAAATAGTTGAAGTGCCATCCATGAAGAGGGATTAGGCCTCTGCATGGCCCTGGAGGACACATTGATGAAGTAAGTGCCCAGGAAGCCGAACTGGAAAGGACTTTCCTCAATAGGAAAGAACTTCATCACAGGCAGAGCGACGGAACAGTTGATCTCAGGGAGCCTGGCCTAATGGAAAGTGGGCCAGATTTGAAGTCAGAAGAGAAAAGGTTGGATCAAGGCTTTATACAAGGTCAATAAATAAGCTACGTGTGTGTCTCTTTCTCTGCTTCTCTCCATCGGTCTGGACCTCTGACCTATCATGGCCAATGGTTCTCAACATGGAGGAATTGTCCCCTCCTCTCAGAGCCATTTGGCAATCTGGAGACGTTTTTTGCTGGTCACAACTGGGGTGGTGTGCTACTGGCATCTAGTGCATAGCGCCCAGGGATGCTGCTAAACATTATACAGAGGACTGTCTGACCCTAAGTGTCAATAGTGCCGATGATGAGAAACCCTAGTCTGGGCAGTAAATCCAAGTTGTCACAGAAAGTAAATCCTACTTGCTATGTTGCATATTCTACCTACTAGCCAGGCAGTCCTTGCCTCCTCTGTCTCGGCGTCCTCATGTATAAAAAGGGGTGAGTTAGTAGTTCCAGAGTGTATAATGCAGGCCAGATTCTGAGCCACGTCTTCCCATAGATCCAGCATGGCAACCGGGCTCCGTCTGCTTTCCCCCAGGAGAAGACCAGAGACAAGGATTAGAGAGAAATGGTTTATTTGGGGGAGTGAGAAAGGGGAAATTATCAAGAGTAAGTGTGAAATTATCAGCAAAAAGTGTCCTCGGAGTCAGCGGGAGATAAAAACATAAAACTATGGGGAAAGGCTGGAAAATGAGGCAACACACACACCTCAGAATTATTACACTCCAGAGGGTTTCTGAGCTATTTCTACACCACCATCTCAGCACAGGTGCCGAGACTAGCCTTGGAGCACTCAGATGTGTCTGAGAGATGTAAGTGAGGTCGTGACAGCATCCGTTAAGGTCCAGCTACTCCTTACACAATCATAGGAGCTAAATGAAATGTTATTTATCAGAAAGAGTTAGTCTGGTGCCGAGAAGGTCATCGTCCTTGGTAAATAAGTGTCTTGTATTAAATTACATGTCACTCAAGTAGACAGCTGAACAAGCAGTGTTCTTTGAAAAGATTCTGGGTCACTCGCTGAATCAAAGGGAAATGCTGAGGATCGGGGCTTGGTAAAGAAAGGACCCAGGGCTGTGCTGACCCAGAGGTCTCAGCAGCAGGAGTTGGTGGGCTTTCTCGTTCAACAGTGCTGTGGGAAGCCTGTTGCAGTCACCTTCCAGCCCCGTGTAACTGAGGCCAGAATTTAAAATGTGGGGAAAATATTTTAAAAATATTTATATTTTATTGTTTTTTTACAGAGAGGAAGGGAGAGGGATAGAGAGCTAGAAACATTGATGAGAGAGAAACATCAATCAGCTGCCTCCTGCACACCCCCCCCACACCCGGGATGTGCCCACAACCAATGTACATGCCCTTGACCGGAATCGAACCTGGGACCTTTCAGCCCACAGACCGATGCTCTATTTACTGAGCCAAACCGGTTTTGGCAAAATGTGGGGGAAATATTCTGATTGGTCTAACTTGGTCATAAGCTCAGTCAGGGTTTTTGGGTGGTGTGAAAAGCATCTTGCCAAATCATGAGGAGTTGGGCTGGCAACTTAAAGGAGGGATGTTGTGCCCATGAAAAGCAAGAGTTAGGTATGGCCCTCCTTCTCTTCCTGGCCACCCTATGCACACACATTTTCCATAAATACAATTTCAAAATGCAGAGCCACCCTCTCTAAAATGGATGGTAACCTAAAATCTCATTGGCTGATGCACCTAGACAGAATGGAGTTGTTCTCCAATTCCAAACCTCCAGATGGTGTCCTTTCTACACTAGTTCCATCGCTTCTCCCTCCTTAGGCATGTGATCCAGGTCTCCATGGACGATAGCTCAATTAG